CTCATTGAACAATACCTTTTTACAGTCTCTCATCGGTGTTTCCCCCTGTTTTTCTGTTCTGTTTTCATCTATCAGTGCATGCGATTCTTGCATGAATTCCTTTTCCGAGATAACATTCGATACCAAGGAACTCTCGGTTTTGTGATAATCACGAATCAACTCAGATGGAATATTCCTTTCCATATGGATGATCCTTTTGTCCAGAGCTTCAATGAGTGACAATAATTCCTGGAATTGTTTACATTTCAGAAAATGCTTTCAACACTCTTAGAAAATTGAAAAGATATTTGTTCAACTTAAAAGACTATATTAGATCAAGTTTTTAAGGATGTTTCAAAATATCAGAAAATTAAGGAACATACTCTACACTGATTATTTTGCTTCGTCATTTTGTTCAATGTCTGCCTTATAGTTTCTATCCCATTGCACATCTGCGACACTGCTGTGCGCATTTTAAGAAACTCCTCTTTCATTGCATCTTTACCTGAGTATGAAAACAAATGACAAATTACTCGTCAATTGCAAATTAATTAAAAATCAACCGTGGTATTAATTGCAAATTTGTACATTTCAACTACAAGTTAATTTACACATTTGTAAAATGAATTATTAAAATAATTAATCAATAAATTATATGTCATTAAACAATATGTAAATTATTAAAGTTTTATATTGCAGAATACGAAATTTAATCTTACCTTTGATAAAAACCGTTGCAGTCTCGAGATCCCGTAACTTCTCACATTGTCTCTCCAAGATCTCTTCCAGTGTGTAAGAGGTCATTTTTAAAATCGATGCGAAAATACTCACAACATAATATCGTTTTGCGTTCAATGCGTCTTGCTTTGCGGCCAATCGGCTGCGAAAAAATAACCGTTCATGAAAAGAAGAAAGGTTAAAAACGACGAGGAACAGACGTAATTTATTAAACGCCAGAAAATAACGGTCACTTGCTCAGTGCTTCTGTAAACCAAATTCAATTCAGCGCTGTTTACAAATGGCGCGCTTGCCAGTTTGAAAGCTCAAGTCGGTCCACAATCATGTACATGTGCTTCGAATTATTTCGAGTATTTCGAAGTGTTTCGAGTATACTCCCAGATTTATTTTAAACTTTTGTCAATAATTGTGACAATCATGGTACATCGCTAATGTAAAATTTACGTCCAATGAAATTTCTGAACGCTTTTGTAAATCACGTTGAATTTTGTTTCCACGTTGGTTACGAGTTGTTTTAAATCAATTGTTACTTCTCTTCTAAATTTAATAAATCAACGATGCGTATTTAGACGATTTAGAAGATGACTCTTACAGGTGTTACGCGCAGATTGAATAATTTGTTATTTCCTTTGACGAATGCGAGCAAGTGTTTGGTGAGAACGCGCCATGCGTTTTCCTTGTTTTTTCGCCGTGTCACGTGATCGATCCAAAATATTTAATGGGTGCCAACTCATCGATGCGTTGCTGGAACGTCGTTAACGTCGAATACTCCTTTCGTCGAAATCGCTTAGTTGCAGTTCGATGAAATATTCTGAAAGATGCGAGGTGTAATATACATTTTCATAACGTTGCTCGCACACGTATACGGTATCAGATTTTACCTTGAACCGAACTCTGCCAAGTGCTTGAAGGATGAGGTTCAAGCGAATATCGCAGTTGCCGGAGAATATGAAGTTTCTGTGACACCAGCTGTTAGGACCGAGTACATTGTAAATTACGTTCCCTAATAATGTGACATTTGCCTTTCTAGATACACATCATACGTTGAAATCGTCAACTTCTCACATAGAAATGACTGGTGCTGTAAGCTAGTCCACTGTTAACTCCTGTTTAAAATATTCCTCCATTATTTCAAATATTTCAAGAGTAAAGTTGTAAGCTTCGTTAATCAGAAAGCTGAAGATATGATATTTTTAAAAGTAAATACTCGAAATTCTGGCTTATGGCACTACAATTTTTAATCTTCTTACATGTCTTACAGTCTTCATATTGTTTCTTGGCTTTTAACTAAGATCATAGAACAGAGATCAAGTAACTTAATGAGTTTTTGGTAATTTTGCAGATAAGAGATTCTAATAACGCTATTCTAGACAAAAAAGATGATATTGTTCATGGAAAAATGTCGAAGTTCTTATTTCACATGGAGAAGTACGATACGTTTGAAATTTGCTTTATGGCTCATGCCATACAACCATCTTTTTCAGGCAGTATGTATACTAATTATATGTGATAAATAAATAATAATATAAATATTATAATTTGACAAATATATATTTATGTATGGTAAGAAATAATTATTTGTAATTTTAAGATATATATAATTTTTTTTTGTCTTTTATTTTGTAAACACAACAATGTATTTCAGATATCAAACAGATCAAGCAAGAGATTCATTTAATTACAAAGCGTGGAATTGAAGCAAAGAATTATGAAGGAGTAAGTTTTTTTTTGAATGATTCTGTTTCAAGCATTTTATTGTTGAATTTATTTTCTAAATCATTCTTGTGTAGCAATTCTATTTCATTCTCTATATAATGTCTATCAAATATTCAATGAAAATTTATAATACTTAATTCTATTAGAGAATATATTAAATCCAATAAAAGAGTTTTCTCTTTTTCTTTTTAAGCAGTATTTTCTTTGTGTATTCTAAAGATTATGAATATTTACTATCATTAAAAAAAAAGTTTCAAAAAGAAATACTCACAATGTTTCGTATTCTTCTTTTGTTTTATACATGACTTGTACGGGTACACAGTTGGTAATGTAAAAATGTGCCAAATTGATTTTGTCAGAAATCACCCGTATGACTTTTAACGGCATGGATTTTAGCATGAATTAATTAGCAGAACTTCTGTTTTTTTTTTTTTTTTTTAAGAATAAAGAATTAACAATTTAATAAAATCCAATGCATAATAGAGTTAAACTGCCAGATTTTTAATTAGTGTGCCTTAGAATTGTGAGTTTATCTAACACTAACTTCAGAAGTGTGGTGAACAGCAAAGTGTTAATACAACAGTTAATTAACAAACTATCTTTATTTAAGATTGGCGAAGCAGCGAAGCTTAAACCTTCCGAAGTTGAATTGAAACGTCTTGAAGATCTTTCTGAGACTATTGTCCAAGACTTTGCTCGAATGAGAAGAAACGAAGAAGAAATGAGAGATACAAATGGTATTGTAAAATATAATATAATTTTTGTTCTATTGTCCAGTAGAATTTAAAAGATAATTCCACTGATTTCTTCAAATTTTCAGAAGCGACGAATACACGGGTACTCTACTTCAGTATATTCTCCATGTGTTGGCTTTTGGTTCTTTCAATTTTGCAAATTCTTTATCTAAGACGTTTCTTCAAAGCGAAAAAGCTCATAGAGTAATTAGGAACAAAAAGAAAAATAATAAAATGGCGAAATTCTTATAATTTTTACACCTTCCGAAATTTTATTTATTTTTTTTTTTTTTTCGATAAGTGATCGAAAAACCAATATTGTTACAAAATTGCAGGAAAATTGACTGATTTAAATTTTGTATACGTAAATGTAAATAAAATACATAATAAAATAATAATAATGATAATTGGAGAAATAGTCCAATGAATTACTGTTGATGTATTTACAATAGATTATAGGTTATATTTCATTTTTAACATCGACTTTACCAAATTTCGAACTATTTTATTCATCAACTTATAATTGAATTAAATCTACATTTTATTAAATTTTTTTATTTAAACATAAACAATAATATGTAATTTGTATATATGTAGCAAAAAATTTTAAGTTTAAATTCAATCTTTTTTTATGTTGCGAACATGGTAATTTAAACATAACCTATTTAGATACAGAACCTAACCTGTTTAAATGTAAAATCCGATTGTTTCGAAAACGTTTGCTCGCATAAGTTTCAAGTGCTCTTTATCGTATCGTTGCAAAGTGAAAAATGCAAGAAACACCTACGGTAAAAAGTATAATTAACAATCGAGATCGTGACTGCCTAGGCTGTAGAATTTTCAGTGGTTGCGGTCTCATTGGCTCTGGTTTATATATTACATATCATTCGAGAAAATTTCCAAAACTGATTGGAAAGACGACGATGTACACTATTGGAACCGGTAATTCTCTCGTAATCGATTTTCCTCTATATTTTTTATACATTTTGCCTTTTTAAATAATTATTAAAAAATGAGGTATCTTCCGTCTCCTCCTTTTCGCCACGTAAATAATCCACGTAAACTTACGCACACTTACTTTTCACTTAAAATTTCAAATATTATTGAAAATCTTTTAACAATTAGATTATGTAAAGATAATATTTTTTATTACTTCCAATCGAGGTATAAGTTGACCGGTATGTGAATTTCGAAGATTATTTTACGTGAAAATACTCATTCATCGTAAGACACGTAAACGTGGCTCATGAAAATATTCGTATACTTGGAAACAAATGTAAATTTCAGTTTGCATTGTAATGAGACATGACTATTGTATGACTATTTGCAATGAATATCTTGTAGCCTCTATATATATATTTTCAAATTTGTTTTAAACGTAAACAGTAACCAATGTTTCATTGTAGACTTAATTAAGTTTTTAAATGTTCAAGAGTTTTTCTACAAGTGTTCAAATCCTTTCATGAGCGACAAGTTTCAATTTCTATCTGACAAAGTTTTTTGCAAAATTTTTTCAGCTCTGATGCTTCTCGGCACTGCCCGAGTTTTGGATCTCCCTCCATTTCGCAAACAGTTCAACCACGGATCGTAACATTTAATCGTAAACAAACATTTACTGAATTTTTGTTGCGTACACGAATGTTTTAACATCTTTTTGTTATCTATTTTTATATTTTTACCGTAACTGTGAAATATAGCAGTCCACTTTTCATATTTGTTTCTTTTTTTATATAAAGATAAATATGACCTTTAACTTATTCCAGTAGATGAACTAATAGAATTAATCAGATTTAAAAGCTAACAAAGGAACGACAGATTACTTTGAATTATCAATAAATGTGTCATCGATCGAATTTTAATTCTAAGTTAAATCTATTATGCAAATTCTTGAAATTTTTATTGATCAATATTCTCTTATTAAAGTATTTTTTTATAATAGTTTTTTTTAGCAGTATCTAATTCGCGTAACTAATTAGAAAGTTATTTGCGATGAAATTAATATATTAACAGAGAGAAATAAACAAATATGAAACACGACAAACGAAGATACTCTCTTATTGCTTCGATTAAGTTTCACCCATAAAAGTTAATTTTAAAGAATATCTCTTCAATTTTTGTGTAAATGCATCGACTCGTCTGTTTGTCAGTTTTGTTTATTGTTTGCCCGGTTTATTATTTGTATTTTCACATCAATGATGGATGTTTGCTTACTGGCGACCGACGGCTTAGAAGACTTTGTAATCCCATTGTCGCCAATTGACAAACAGAAGTTGTCACTCTAATAAACATATGTTGCATCCGATGGACTGTTGTTACGAACGATAAGGAAACAGAATAAAAATTCCTCCAAGATGCATCAGACAGTTGCGCATTGATAATATTGATAAACACCATTCGGAGTTGAGGGAGCATTTCAAAACCTCCGAGACGCCAGTGTAAATTTCGACGATTAAACAAGCGTAACAGAATGTTTTAAGCGTGTGCGTTAATTTTTCTATTTCTATCCGTTATCGCCATCTAATTCCAATTAATAACCGATAGTAGGATGTTAAACTTATGGACGATATTTTCGTTTTGTACAAAAATAGGAGCTTCTTTATTTCTGATATCTTTTTACGTTGATTATCGTACATTCTATATAATGTATACTCACAAAAATATTAGAAATTACAGCTGATCACCTAAAAATATAATTATTTATATTATATTATAACAGACTATTTTTGAGGTTTTTTTGTCATTCATATTGCGCATCCTACAACAGAAAATGTAACAAGTGAGTTTAATGCAAAAGAGAATAATAAGAATATCTCTTAAAGAAAAAGCTTATTATATTATTATATTAATAAAACTGATTGAAACTTACATATTTCATGTATGATAGAAAAATGTCATAGATCATTGTCATAAAATTGATGTAGAGCACCCTATAATGAAGAGGTACAAATAAAAAATTTATGCACTGCGTTGGAGGCCAAAAGCAACAGTCAACCTGAACACAAATAGAACAAAAATGAATTTACAAATATAGTCCGATTGTGTCATATAATAATGTATGAGCATATATACCTTCCACGTATCGTATAATTTCAGTCTCATCTCCTCGCGGATCTCTTCTATATTGCGATGTTCTAAAAGGCCAAGACCGATGAAAAATATTCCCAGACAAGTTGGACTGGCTATACTTTGGTCTAGACAGGTCTTCTTGATAACAGACAGTGCGGTTTTCCCAGGAATTACTCTGTCCAATATCATATAAAACCAGTGATGAAAAGGACCTTGAAGCAGACCCACGATGGTCATGTTTTTAGTTCGCTCGTAGTCGTGTATATAATCGTCAGAATTTCTTGAATTGTGAAACTTTCGTTCTGCATTTGGGGATGCTGCCATTACATATGTCCCAGTAGGTACATCGTACTTCCTTAAATAGTCGTTGCGTTGTTGAATAACGTCCCCTGCAGCCATCATCAAACCACAGCTCACAGTGTTAGTCACCAAAAGGTACTTGCCTAAAATTTTCACATGCGTGTTTATTAATTGAAACTTGAAAATCAATTTCGAAATTTTCTGACTATTTAAAAATTTCAAGATGTTTGAATATTTGCGATACTTACCAAACAATTTACCCCAAACAGTCATTTGCGTGTTGAGCTTAGATTCTATTAAGTAGTTACTTTTTGTGTTGGTTTATGATATATTAATATATCAGGAAAATCGTCTTTCTCGTATTTTATTTAAAGTGTTAGCTTCTTTAAATCCTTTTTTACTTCCTTGAACAACGTTGGATAATCATACAGATTTTGATTCGTTGATGTTTGTGAAGACAAAACCGCGGTCGGATGTAGCCCGATAACATACCGGTACTAAAAGATCGGATATCTTTCACACAGATTTTAAAAATAGATGTAAGTTAGCAGTTTGCAATATAAATCTACGCGTTACTGAATAGAAATTTGCGAAATCGCGATTATTATAAGACGGAATGCAATCGAAAGTTGCGCCGCGTCTGCGCAGTGGATCCTCTGTCATCCCCACCATTCAATATTTCATACTTGTAATCTTTTGTAATCCTTATTTGGAAAACACTGAATTACTATGTTTTTAGGTGAAATTTGCGAGTTTTTCCTATAACATGCGACAGTAAAGTAGAACCCAAAAAAGAAAGATTTTAGAAATTTATGCATATTGTATAATTTACGTGAATATGTACAATATACATAAATCTTCAGATAAATATAAACAAATTAGCACTTTGTTGAAAACTGCATGAGCAATAAAAGATTAATATGATAATGAGTTTAACGTTGAATATCTATACAACGTGCAAGTTATATGCTAGTTATGCATAAATTTTTAAGTAATTTTTGTATTCCAAAACCGAAATTTTTGGACTTTATTCGCCAAAAACTATAAAAATAGCCGCAGTAACTTATTTCAAAACAAAGTTCAAAGTACGAACATTATCATACTTGATTGTAATTGCATTTTATTAAAATCTAAAATGGAATTTATGCATTAATGTGTAATTAATACATATTTTAGATTATTTATTATAAGAAATATTACAAGAATTATTTAGTTTGAACTGATTTAGGTTTCGGCAAACCTTCCCTAAATCCATTCCTGGAAAAGAAATGCAAAAGAGACAATGATTGTTTTTCAATTATTCAAAACTAGTCATTTATTTGGTGTTAGTTTCATGCTTACTTGAATTTACGACGGACGATTTTTAGGTAGCGTAGTCGTCCAGTTCCCGTAGTCTTCCTCCTTTTCGCTTTTATAGACCAGTTATCTGAAATAAAGCAAACATAATAGTTACAGAACTATTGATAATTCATGATCTGATAATTCATAGAGAATATTCGTAAATTAACTACTAGTATCGTTTGTTAATACAAAATTCAATCCTACATGATCGCATTTTCTTCTGTGGGTATCCACATTGAGCACATTGCGATTTTTGGATGTGGTAGGAACTGCGGCCGCAACGCCTACATAATGTATGCGTTTTATTCCGCCGCTTACCAAAGCTCGATGTACCCTTTGTCTATAAAAGTCAATAACATTAATCAACGTTAGTCACTACTTTGCGATTTGCATTTGATTTCATAAATATTAGTAAACATAACCTCAATCCATTATGAATGTTCATACGTTTCTGAAATCATTACTAGCTTCATACTAATTTTTGTTGTAATAATACAGAGTTATTTAACTTACGTTGAAAAATTGAGATCTAATATCAAGTCATAAACATTTCTATACGCAACCTCAATCATCATCTAATATTTATATCGTACTGATATGAGAAACATTTATCGAAACGATTTTTAAATATTTTTAGATATAATAATAGATATAATAAAAAGTAATTTGAAGTATTCCCTAAATGAATAACATTTACGATTGCTTTAGAATATTCAGATTTAAAAGATACGAGTACATACTCACCATTTTATATGGAAAAGCAACGTAGGAAAGAAGGTTACATCAAGTGCGCCAAACTCGCGAGGGCAGTGGTTCTCATTTGAAATTACTTTTCAACAAAAATTCGTATTTCCATGTAGCTATGTTAGAAACTCGCCATATCAGAGGCGACGAACTTTTACTGTACAATTATATGATTTATTTATTTAATTTTATTATTTAATCTAAATTTATGTGTAATATTATATTGTTATATTAAAAAACATTTATACCATTCCGGAAAAATATTATTACAATAATAAACTAACTTCATAAAGACAAATATATTTATTCTTATTGAATATAATGTATTAAATTACTATCAAGTCATCTGCATCAGTAAGGACTTCGCGAGAATATTGACTTCCAGCTGATACAACTTGTTTATAGCCAACTATACAGTCCTTCAATTCAGTACCTTCTTCGATGATACAACCACTGCCTAATATGCAATTTTGTATTACGCATCTGCAATAAATGATTTATAAATGACAACTATTACCTTTACAACTGATTCTTGAGTGCGAAATTCAACTAGCATAACAGATATAATACCGTTGCTTGATAATTGCGGATTCCATTAAAACACTCTGTGATATTCTAGTCTTTGATTCAACAGTAACATGTGGTCCAATATGAGTATGTTTGAGAGATGTTTTTTCCTCAATAAGAGCATTATTGTCCACTCTACAATCTTGTATTTGAGTGCTATGTATCGTTGCTGTAGGAGCAATAATTGGTACAGAAGGCTGTTCATTGTTGTCATTATTCCACCATTCTGATATCTAAAATATTGATTCTATTAATATTAATGATTGAAATAAAATTATTAATTCAAATAAATTGTATTTATTTTCACCTTTGTATTAGCGAGGTGATACATTTGTATAGTATTTGCCCTCAAACCAAATTTTCCATCACCAACGTAAGCATAACACCGTATTATATCCCCATGATATGTATCTTCTAAATCAGTGTCATGATCGTTGTATGCTGACATTTTTCTGATTAATTCATCGAGTGGTTTCTCAACTGCAAAACGGTAGATGACATCTTTTGAATTCGTTTGTACTATAGAGGTATTTTTATCATCCACATATTGCTTGGGAGGTTTTGAAAATTGTTTCCTAACAATATATGGCAGGAGTTCACCCTTTAATGTGGTAAAATTTCTAAAAAAAAAAAGAAAATGTTAAATTATTAAGAAGAAATTGCATTGTTAACAGTATTTTGCAGTTCTGCTTACTTATTCTGCACTAGAAAATTTAAAACCCATTTATTAATGACATACAAATGAGAATCCATTAATCTAGAATGCATAGTAAAACTTGGATATTTCTTAAGAAATGATTGTGAAATTTCTATTGTTTCTTCAAAGTCTGAGGCTGATGCTAAGAAAATTAAACGTCCAGTCTCATTGCAAATGCCAATTAAGTCAGTTTCAGGCTTTTGTTTGTTCTTCGGGCCTGGTGTTATGAAGTCATCTGGTACTTTAGGAGCAGGTAACATCAATGCTGTGATACTAGCATTATGTTTCCTATAAAGATTCAAGATTTCGCATATATCCACATCTGTAATCAAGTCGCAGGAGATCACCAAAAAATCTGTGTAAATCTTTTCGTGAATAAGCCTGATCGAATCTGCAGTTCCCAAATCTTCTGCATTTTTCACAGCAACAATGTCTGTCTTAATTTTAAGATTCAAATCATTCAAGGCTAAAGAAACATTGCGTTCCATAGATTCAGCTATAATAACAATAGCTTCTTTGAAGCCGACACGTTCCAACAGTTGAAGGGGATACCAAAGCATTGGTAGATTTCCAATTGGTAACAAACATTTATATTGGCCACGAGTAAGCTCAGTCATGCGGGATCCTCCTCCAGCAGCAAGCACAACTGCTTGAAATTCTTTATAAGGGAACATTCCTTTTGCTGAACAACTGTAACAACATACATTAAAGTATTATAAAAGGAAAAGTGTTTGCTGTATACACACAAAAATCAAAGACTGATGATAAAACGTACAATAAAGAAAGAAAAATGAAATTATGAATGTCTTTCTCTCGATGCAACTTTAATAACCTCTAGTGACAGACGGTGTAAGCATCATCAATGCGATGGTAATTAATAACAGTGTTCTTAGGTTAGGTTAAAATCATATTTAAATAGCCGCAGTATTCTGAAACAGAAATTGCGGAATTGCATAAAAATAAAGATATTACGAAAAGTATCGCACGTAATTTACGTGAATTTATATCAAGGAATTAGTCATAGCTATCATAACCTACACTATAGAAATACCGAATCTGAAAAGAACAGAGACGAAACATGTGCGAAAACGAAGATGATATAATCACTGTGGGAAAGTACGTGATTATAAAAAAGCAGAACTTTAAAAAGATTTATAAGGTAGCTACGAATGGTATCTTGACCTTAGGAAGAGACACAGTGCAAATGCACGAGATTATTGGCAAAACTTTCTGGACTACCTTCGAGATGATCCCAGTGAAAAAAGGGAAACGGACGTATTTCTTAAAAGAAGTATTAGAAACCGAGTCGTTGAACGATTTATTAAGTGAATTACCAAGTGGTAATGACAATCGTACTATTGTAGACGATGGCACATCACAGAAGCTTTCTAAGGAGGAAATACTTCGCCTTCAAGAATCTGGCAAAACTGGTAAAGAAATAGTGGGTAGTCTAATTGAGAACAATAAGTCTTTCCTGGATAGAACCGAATATTCGCAGGAGAAATATTTGAAAAAAAAGGAGCAGAAGTATCTCAGATATATAACAATATGGAAACCTAATATAAGCTTATTGCACGATGTGTACTTTCAGTTGGATCACAACAAAATTGGAAACTTAAGAATGGACTCTTTGTCACAGTTGTTGTCATACAGTGACGTTCAGTCAGATGGTTTGTACATATTGTATGACAGTGGTTCACATGGTATGCCTGCAGCTGCAATGTTGAACAGAATTGGTGCAAATACAGAAGGACATTTGATTAATTTACATCCTGGGAATGTTCCTCAGCTTGCACTTGTCAATGCCATGAATTTCCCTAGGGAACAATTAGACAGATTAATTAATGTTAACATTTACAGTTTTTTGAGATTATATTATCAAGGTGAGAGTGCTGTGTTAGATAAAATCTCCAAGAAAGTTCATAACAATTGTATAAATAAGATAAAAGAAAATGAAAGCAAAAATGATGATGAGAGCCTAGTAAATAATGAAATCTCACAAATTGAAGAGACAGATATGAAAGAGGGAAACTTAAACAACATCAATGAGTCAAATGATAAGGTTGAACATAGCACTAATGGTAGTTTGAAACGTAAACGAGATGAAAGTGATACACATGAAGCTGTAAAAGTCACTGTTGTAAAGAAACCAAAGTGGTTAATGGAGACACAGTATGCAGTGGAACTTGTTAAAGGTTCTAAAGCCAGAGGATTGGTGATTGTGGCTAAAGAGCACCCTTTGAATATCGTCACAGCTCTTCTACCATTTCTGGGATTCTCTAGACCGTTTGCAATATATCACGCACATCGAGAGCCATTACAAGAAACTTACATGATGTTAAAACAAAAACAGAATGTTATTAATCTAAGACTTCTCTCTAACTTCTTGCGTTCGTATCAGGTATTGCCAGATAGAACGCACCCTGATATTTTAACCAGTGACACTGGGGGTTATTTATTAAGTGGATACTTAGTTCAATAATAAATTACATTTTTAACAAAATATTTATTTATCCGAATAAATTTATAAGTTTAAGTAATATTGTAAGTTGTATCTTAGATTATAAGTAACTTGTGCAAACAGCAATATACTTTTTATAAGTGCTTTATATTTACATTGGACAAAATTTTTGTGAACAATAAAGAAATGCTATTTTATATTTTGCGTGCTTATATTAGCTTAATTCCGATTTTAACTATCTCTGGTGATTTGAAGATTTTGATGGCAATAGAAGTGGGAGTAATTGGTTAAAGTTAGAAAGTAGGAAACAGCTGATTCTGTTTGTCAATAAAGTTAGGTTTCCCGTTGTCAATTTTTCGCATAAAATTTATTTGAATGTTAATATAAAAAGAAGTAAGATTTTTTTTTCGAAAAATGTTTACGTAATCGATCACGACGATTTAAAAGTTAAGCATCTAAGAAAAATGTCGATTTATCGAGTGTTGCACGTGAGAAGGTAGTATTCGACAGGTTAAGAATGCGAATATAAATGTGTTTACTAAATGAATTCCGTGATGATTTTACCGTTAAAACCATCTTCGAAAAGTCTCTTCATGATGATCAGGAAAAAATTACACATGAAACTAAACATCTCAACTTTGCTGATCATGCTGTTAATTGTTTTTTTATGTATACATTATTTGTCTTCTACAAGATGTTCCTCCAACGAGCAAGAGGTAAGGAACAAGCCGAAAGTTAGGCTTATAATACTTGTATTCTCTAGTCCGGATAATCTAGAACGAAGAGCCACTATCAGAAAAACATGGCTGGCCCAAAAGCAAGCCACGGTCAAGCACTTCTTTGTAGTGGGAACATCAAATTTACAACAGGAACAAAGAGAAACCTTACAGTCTGAGAAGCAGAAGTTTGATGACTTACTATTGTTATCAAGACTGCCAGATTCTTATGGAACTCTGACGAAGAAACTTTTGTATGCACTTAATGAAATCCATGGATTTTATGAATTTGACTTTCTGATGAAATGTGACGACGATACATTTGCTCTGGTACACAAGATTTTAAAAGAGCTAGACAAATGGGATGGAAAAGGGACAAGGAAGGAATTGTATTGGGGATTTTTTAATGGAAAAGCACAAGTGAAAAGAAGCGGGCCATGGAAAGAGACAGATTGGATACTGTGCGACTACTATCTTCCTTATGCACTTGGAGGGGGATATATCTTGTCTTATAATTTAGTAAAGTTTATTGCTACAAATGCAGACATTTTAAAGTATGACAATATAATAATATGAAAATGAACTGTCATTGAGCATTATGTCTAATGGCTCTTACCATATTTTTAGATTGTATAAAGCAGAGGATGTGTCTGTCGGTCTTTGGATAGCACCACTGGCGAACATTGAACGAAAACACGACGTACGTTTTGATACGGAGTACAGATCGCGTGGATGTTCCAATCAGTATATAGTTACACACAAACAGACCATTGAGAACATGAAAAACATGCACGAATATTATCAAGCGTCTGGAGCATTATGCATAAAAGAAATAAGAACTCGTATGAGCTATCAATACAATTGGACAGTTCCACCTAGTCAGTGTTGCAATTTACAATCGGATATTCCATAACAACCAAACTTCCTTTTTTTTAATATATTTGATATTCTAGTCATCACCTATTTTAAAAGTATTACATATATTTTATCACTAAAACTAAATTTGTTGTTGGTAAATACCAACATCATAAATTTTTTATTTATATCAACGTGTCTGTAATATTTCTATTTAAGCAATGATGTTTTATAGTTTTTGCGGTTAGTTAAACGAGAAAAGCCAATAAATGAATAATTCGAATATTATCGTATTAAAGCATGCATTTCACATTAATACTTTTTTTGCAATAAATAAATTAAGATTTTAGTAATTTTTTGCATATATGTTTGAATAGAAACAGAAATTAGAAACTCATTTTTATAAATCAAATATATTTTTCTCACAATTACTATACAATTATTACGTATATAATATATATATTATATATATTAAATACATATATATAATATATACATCATATATTATATAATACATCAAATTCATATTATATAATATATATTATATATCAAATTTAATATATTATAAATATATATTATATAATATATCAAATTTTACATTTACAATTTTACATTTTATTTCAATAAAAGAAATTATATTCATTATCTCTCTATACGTCATCATTTATATTTATAAAATATAAAAACAGTAATGTAATTTGTTTACTTTGATACAATACTTATATAATGTGTTAATACAATTGAGCGAATCACAGATATTTGAGAACAATTTATAATACTACTTCATATTACTATTTCATATATATCTAGAAAGAAAAATAGAAAATTGACGAATAGCTTATCGCTATTAATTGATCGCATTTTCATTACATCTTATATTGCGTAAAAATTATATAAAAATTAATTAGCGTAACATTGAAATTTCATGAAATTTGTAAGATCTGAATCGCATTTAAATTATATCTATTTCCATGGGAGAAATAGGTAAAAAGAAAGAATTGTTTTTTTAGCAATATCAGATGCAACATAAACCGAATCATTTAATACTTTCTTTATGTCCTCTTTTTCGTTTTTACAAATTTCCTATTTGTTTTGCATAATTTTATATACAATTTTTTTTTATGTTAAACTGTGAAAAACATTGTTTTAATTTTAGAAACGATTCACGAATCTCTCCTTCTGTTTTAAAAATGAGCACATCTATCCATTTTCTAGAAATTACTTTTTTTTTCTATCTTGTGTACACTTTGGGCAATACCATTTCCCTTTAGGTTTTGTAGTTAACCCAACGCACGCAAAGTGGAACCATTCTATGGGGCACTATGTTAAAAAAAAGAATATTACTAAAAGATCATCAAACATTTAAGAGGCATTTTAAAATGATATACACTCACGTCTGGATTGTCACAACCGATCATTTCTCCATAAGAGACTTGGTGGCACAAGCAATAGGTTGGTTCGTTAGGATCTACTGGCATATCTAAAACATCTGCCGGATGACCAAGTGCAGTCGATTCTACCTGAGCACCGCTACCAACAGCCCCGGCTGATGAAACAGAGGCAACAGATCCTCCTTGGCATTACATTTAATGAATTACAATTTTTCCACGGCCATAGATAAATTGCAAATTCAAAACAAATTTTACCTTTCTTCTGCTTTTTCCTAGCTGTTTTCGACTCGTCTTCGCTAGTTGTGCCTGCAGCACCCTTTTTTCGTTTCTCCTTTTCCTTTAATTTCTTTCTACCTTTTTTACTAGCATTGCTCTCCTCTTGCGCTCTACTGCTGTTCAATGCTTTGTCTTGTATTTCAGCTTCGAACCTAGCCAAGTCCGAGTCTAACCTTCTGATGTGTTTATCCACCAGTTCATATGTTTGTATTGCCAATTGTACTTTGTCATCACCGTACTCTTTTGCTTTATTGAACAAATTTTGAATGTGGGTCAACTGTTCCTTCTTCTTTTCCGGTGATTCTTTCTTCAGATTTTTCAAGTAATCATCAGCTAATTTATCTATGTCTTTCATCAATCCTTGGGCTCTGGCATCAAGATCCCTCATCAAAGTGAAATTTCTTTGTAGTTCAATAGGTAAGTGCTCTAGACCTGATCAAACAAAATTTAAAGAGTAATTATGCCTGTTCTCAGTGAGTCACAATGATATCAGATTGAATTGAATTCTTGGTGTGTTTTAATTTTTAAGTTTATTCAAGTTGTTACATAAAACTTGCACAAAATTACATACAAATAACAAGTTGTTATATACAAAATTTGATGAATAATTAGATTCAGTCTCAGTGACTCAGACTGACATCAGATTCAGTTGTATTCGTAAAGATTATAATCTTTAAGTTCAAAATAAGTTATTGTAAGTAACTCGTACAAATATTTTTATTCGTTTTCATCTTGCAAAATCAAATTACGTATTTGATTATTTCGTACTACTTCAACTGATTGAAAAACTATAAATTATAGTGCTGCGAATATACTGTGCTATGTAAATAACATATAATGTAATTTCAATTAATCACTATGTTTGATACAAACTATGTTTGATAGACGTGTAGTTTTGTTTAACCTTAAATCAGAATCGGAGTGAACACTTACTGTCTAAGTAATGCTCAAGGTACAGTGCAGTTGTCATATTTATATTTGTTCGATCGGCAATTGAACAAAAACGTAACGTTTACGTAAATGTAACGTATTATTTACACGAAATCACAAGAACAGTATCATTAAAAATATCAGTAGAGCTTAAAAGAGAACGATCAATGACTGTTAGCATGGGTACCAACCAAGCGTATCCAATATAAATCCGCCATAACAAAAATAAACCATTGAGGACATACTTCACGACATTACAATGCCATGCTATGAAATTTGAAAAAAAAGGATCAAACGTGATTAGAATTTTAAATCATTTTATATGTATTAATAGGAATGCACTGTGCTCTTGTCTACAATTATTTGTCACATAAATCGACCTATACAACGAACAACGTTCGAAGAAAAATCGATGATAGAATTGAAATCGATTGAGAATCGCAATTCAGATGAGAGAAACATGGCTGCGTTCACGTCTTTAATATCAAAGTAGGTGTAATTGTACGTGAAACTGGAAGTGGTATCATCGAGCTCTCGTTAGGAATGAACAAAAACTTGTTAGCGTATCTGGGTCTGTTACGTTTTGTACATTGAACGAGAATTCTGGCAAAATTGTACATTATTCGTGGTAAGTCTCGACCAACTTTCAAGGTTGGAATCAATAGAAATATTTTTGCCTGAGGTGGTTTGAAAAATCTCAGTGAACCTCATCTTGATGATTCTGTAGAATTGCATATATTAATAAATCAGATCCTGTTAAAGAAAAGAAATATTGATCAGTTGTTTGTTTCTGCAGCCAAAAGATGGTAAAGCTATATGCGTTTTCGATTTTATATAAAAATCCAACATCAGCGACAACGTTGAAAGCTGCCTATGATGTGGAGTCGTTCTCGTTTTTTCAAAGGGGAAGCGTCAAAGAGTTTATGACGTTCATAAGTAAGACTATCGTGGAACGAACTCAAAGCTGTTTTAGGCAGAGCGTGAAGGAAGGAGGTAACACCATACGAAGGTGTACAAAGTCGTTTCAATACCCTTAACTGTTAAATTGCAATTGTTTTGTAGATTACATGTGTCACGTATTTGTACGAGCAGATAATTTGGCTGCAGTGCTTATATCAGATCACGAATATCCTAGAAGAGTGGCGCACACGTTAATTACAAAAGTTATGGATGAATTTGCAGCCAAGTATCCTCAGTCTACATGGGAGACATTAAGCGAAGCCATGACTGATTTTGCACAGATCAACGTGTACTTGGCGAAATATCAGAATCCCAATGAAGCTGATGCTCTTACTAAAATGCAAAATGACTTGGACGAGACAAAGATTATTTTAGTAAGTACAAGTGTTTTGGAAGCCATGGTAAAGAGATATCTTTTAAATTAATCAGATTATTCTACATACTTTGTAGCACAATACACTGGAAGCTGTTCTTAAAAGAGGTGAGAATTTGGATGAATTGGTCTCCAAATCGCAAGGTCTGAGTGCTCAGTCGAAAGCGTTTTACAAAACTGCGCGTAAAACTAACTCGTGTTGCAGTTTAGCTCCTTAAAATCCTTTTGCCGAAAGTTATACTGACCTGTTTCAATGAATATCCTTGTAATTTTATAATATTAATACAAAGTGCAAAGGAATTATTATTATATACAGGTTTTATTAAAATAGATAATGTATAAATTCTATATGTACCGAAATTCGATATTTTGTGTACAAACTCTTTGTATATAAAATGTATTAATGCACTTGAATTGCGTACCAAGCTACTGCCGGATTCAATTGAACTGATTTTTATTTGTTTAAATTGTTCTTTTTTCTTTTATAAAACACCTTGGTCTTAGAAGAATTTTAGTACAGTTTTGCGTATGGAAATACATTCCGACTTTTATTTTATTTATACATCGACAAAACGATAATGGGATATAAAATTAAAATGAACATTTTGCTGTTAAGTATAATAGAAAATATAAATACAACTTTTATTTAAATTTATTTAAGAAGTGAGTTATTATAGAATGGAGTACATTTTTGTAAACAGTTATTTTAATTTTTATTTGTAACATAATTTTGTAAAATTAAATTAATTTCATATTAATGAAACAATAAATTATAATGTTGTGAATAATGATGTTGTGACTTAACAAAGTGGTGCAAGATAAAGTTTAATTTCATATATTTGTACATTACTCGATAATCTTTGTGTAAATCAACTTATTTGTATGAATTGTATAAATTTTACTGATAATCAAAATTCTAATTTATTTCTCTATATAAAAATAAATATAAATATAAATATAAATATATGTGTGTGAGTGTGTATGTATTTAAATGAATATAATATGTAGATATATAGCTAGTGTATTTAATATGACGCCTGCGTACATGTGTAAGTAATTATATATCTACATCTATGTAATTTTAAAAATATATTTATATTTTTAACATATTTGTTTCATGATAAAGTCGACACATTAAATTTTTTTATTACTACATGATTTATTTTAAGACTTAAATTATAACAAATTAGTTTTAGTCTGGTATGGCAGTTCAAATAGATTACAATTTACAAAATCACGAGGCGTACGACGGTACAAACTAAATACCATAACTCTTTCTCGTGTAAACCATGGAATTTTCTGGTACTTTGGATTATACTCGTACTGATACTTTTCAGTGTCGATCTGAAACGTTACATTAAATTTTCACAAATTATATACAACAAATAACATAATTATACTTACTTTATCAAGTATATCTCGTATTGTGTCTTCTGCTTCACCCGGAAGCAGAAATTCTTTAGCACATTTGTCAAAAATAATATCATCTATGTCTACAAGCAAGTCCCATTTCGTCTGATACGAATACACAACGTCATTTAAATGATGACTGTCTCGAAATATCCAATCACTGAATTTAGTTTTCACCTCAGATTCCTCCAAGTCTAAGTTTTCTATGTCGTCTGCTACGTCTTTAGCATTGCCCCCCTTGTTCCAATCATAGACTAATATTTCTGAATGGTTTGTTAGCCAGGAGAAACATTTCTCCTTCACTCCATTATCCAGATCCGATAAATATTTCTTTGTGAAAACTTTTGAATTAATTTCATCCGAATTACCTCGTTTCCTAATTCTTTCCTGCAACACGTTTAATCAATAAGTTAATATTAATATTAATCGATATCATTCTCCTGAAATTATAAAACAATAGAACTTACTAGAGTAGTTTCTGGAGTTGCTTCCAAATATATGACTAAATGTGGCATCAGCAACCGCTTTGTTGCTTCGTTTTTGAGCTGTTCAAATATTTTCAGGCTATTTTCTTGTATATACCCGGAATTATACATGGCATATATAAAACCAAAATCTGTAAAAATGGATCGGTTAAGAATAACACCTTGTCCCGTTGACAATATATGAATTATTGCGTTCATGCACTGTTCATATCTCATTAAAAGATATCCCAGTTGGATACGAGGTGTTCCTGTATGACTTGGATCTTTTAGGAAATTTTTCAGATCACGGAATTGCCATGCTTCTGGCAAATCTGGATTTATATTGCGAACGTCGTATCCATAGCAATTTATATACATATCATCGAATGTTGGTGATGGCATATACAGTAATCCAAATTCTTTTGCTAAATCTTCGCAGAATTTGCTTTTCCCTACTGCGGGAGGGCCATCTACAACGATTAATTTGGTATTTTCATCGTACGTGAGACATGTTAGATCAATAATCTTGTTTGTTTTGAGGCATGATTTATTCCAATAAGGATATGGATCTGGTTTAGGTGTTTCAATTTTAAATTTCAATGTCCTCATAAATGCCACTTGCATCAGGTTATTAACATTTTTTGATGCCTGTAAAATACATGATTATGAGAAGATATAACATTGTAATATAAATTTAAAATAAAAATAATGTAACTACATAAATAATATAGATATCACAGTGAAAAGTATTTAGAATAAAAGAGGAGATCTTATAAAACTACTTAATATAAAAAAAAATATAACGTACTAACGAACGAGTAATTTATAAATGATTTTAACAATCATTAACAATTTTAACAATATTCGATTGTGTTAATGACTATTATTATAACGTTACATTATTATATTAGTGCTACATTATAGTACCACAAGTACTAACCTTACATAATCGAGTTAAATATCCGAGGGAATTGCTTTTTGCGATAGTGGTCGACAATATCGATGTCATTGTACTGAAATAAATATTATTTCAGTCAAAAATTTCAATACAACAAATGACACGTAACGTAGCAAATATTGTCCATATTAATTCCTTACCCACTATGATAGCACTTCGTAACTTCGCTCAGTGGTACTCAATTTGCACGTAACACTGCACTACCGCTATCATCGAGCGCTATTGTTTTCTGAATTGAAAAATATGAGTTAATACAATAATAACAATTAATTTATGATAAATTAACACAGTTATAAATAGGATGAATTATTATAAACACGATGAAAAATATGATAAATTAATTATACATAATATAATTATACAATTAAAATGTGATAAATTAATGCAATTACAATAATAATTATAATTACATTATAAATAAAGGAAAAATAAGTAAAAAAACATCGACTGAGATTCAATAATTGAAACAATCAGTGACAAAGAGGCTTGTTATACCTAATATATTTCCTGACTACCTGAAAGGTTTCCAATTTTAATGTGAATCAAGTATCGTCAGACTTAACTGCGACAATAAGAAAAGTCTTGTAATCTCGTTGAACTCGTGAAACCAAAGTAGGTTTGGGAGAAATAAAAGATCTATACAGAGAGAGAGAGGACGAAACGAAAAATAGGGAAGTTTCGAATGTCCCTTCTTCTCGGACGATCTTCCCGGAGTTCTTGACAAGCGGCGCTGGTATCGCAGTTACGCGAAACTCGCAAACAAATAGAATGGCTCTCGAGGAGGCCGAAGCGTCGAACCGTCTTTGAGTCGTTGTTGGTTTCGATCGAGCCGGCGATAAAAGTCGTCGTTCGAGCGATACTAGTCCCACGTCGGTCCTCGTTCGTTCTCCATTTTCCTATTCGAGGAGCGAAGATTGAATGATAAAAATTAACGCGCAAGGGAGAGGGACGTGCACACGTCAAGGGACAAGAGATATGAACTTCACGTGAGGGCAAGGAAGACCGATGTGATCTGCATGTCGGTGGGGAGAGCGAACACGACGAAGGAAGAGAGAAGGATCTCACGGCGATTTCGGATCGACGATCGGCGGAACGCGGTGGCAGACGCTTGCGTCCCATGACAAGGAGAGGAGCTCTGGGTGTACCGTGCTGCGTCATCGTAGAATGGGTGAGTGGCCACGGTATATTACGAGCTCGGCGCGATGCATACTTATATAAATAATGATCTATTTGTGGCAGTGCACGCGCGGGGCGTGTCTTCGACGGAGATTCGAGCACAGGGACGAATGTTCATCGTCCGCGTGTCTCCTCTCGTCTATTTCTTGTAGGGCTCAGTCCTAAAGAAAGATTTGTACGTCGTACGATCCGTAGACGTTGATTGTGCATCGCTCAGATCTCGAGGGCCCGGATTCGACGTCGTTGAGAATGATACTCGACATCGGTGTTAACCGAATAAAATCACACGGTGCACACGGTACCGTCGTCGCATGCCTGGAATTTCTCCCCACTCTCGCTCGCCTCTATTATTTTCTATCCCCCCCCCCCCCCCCCCCCCCATTCCGCGCTCTCCTTCGGCGTAGAAGTTTCGCGTTGCGCTTCGTAACTCTTTTTTAAATATCTCCCTCGCGTTCTTCTTAGAGAAGAGAAAGAGATCTAGTCTGCTTGATGTTACACTCGTAGTCAGTGTTCACGTTTCGAAACGATGGTTCAGATGGTTTGATGATGCTCGACGACCGCCGAAAGCAAAGTTTCGAGAGGCCCTTTTGCTTTGAGAGTTTCTCGAGCGACTTTCGATAACACGTGATGAAAATTCGACTCTCGGCCTTCGAACTGATGTTAATTGAATTAGATGGTAGATGGTTTTGGAAATTGAATTAGGAGGTGATTGGTCTTCCTCATCAACTCAAAACGTTGCAAGTTGACGAATTTTCATGAATAAATAGTTGTCACAGGAATCATTGTTATTTGAATGTGTCTAATATCTTTATCTTTTTACTTGTCTAAAGTAACTATTTAACTACTTACTATCTAACTTTTTTCTACGTGTCTAAAGTAAAAAGATAAAGATCATATAGATAGTAACTCTTTAACTAGTTACTATCTCAATGTACCTAATATTTTAGTGACGTTTACATGTATCTTGTCTAAAGTAATTATCTAACTAGTTACTATCTAATTGTAAATGTGTTTAATATTTTACTTGTCTAAAATAAAAAGATACATGTAAACATCATAGATTAGATAGTAACTGACTAGTAAGTATCCAATTATCTAACATTTTAGTGATGTTTACGCGTATCCTTTTTATTTGCTTAAAGACACACAAGGAGGAATGTCCCGCAACACTGGACCTGGCTTGTATGAATTCCTTATGGAAGCAGAGCTCCAGCAGTATTATCCTGGAATTCGAGGTAGCGTATTTTCAAATGAAGTCATTAAATATCCAATTGAATTGTTTCTGACTGATCTGATGTGTTCACGCAGGGGACCTGAAGGTGCAAACAACCGCTCAACTAAAATATGTAACGGAGGAAGACTTGAACGCCATTGGGATGAGCAAGCCTGAAATGCGTCGTTTGAAGAAGTACTTTCAGAAACACTTCCCACAGAATTACTTGTCCAAGTTCAAGAAGATGCTGTTACCAAAACGGGAGGAGCCAGCCACAGGTGCTTTAACTATGTTACCAGAGGAGAGGCAGGACAAGCCACCGATTCGTGTTCCTAATAAGTACATGATACCGGCTGACGCGATCATCGTGAACAAAGAGTTAGGGATCGGCGAGTTTGGCGTTGTCCAGCAAGGCGTTTGGACGAACGACGGGGAAAGGATACAAGTGGCGATCAAATGTTTGTCACGGGAGAGAATGCAGAACAATCCGATCGAATTTTTGAAAGAGGCGGTCATAATGTACGCGATAGATCACGAGCACATCGTGAGACTGTACGGCGTAGTCTTGGACACGAATTCTTTGATGCTTGTCACGGAATTGGCTCCCTTAAGATCGTTGCTGGAATGTTTGAAAGAACCGAGTTTGCGCACCAGCTTTCCCGTTCTCTCGTTGTGCGACTTTGCTGTACAGATCGCGGACGGGATGCAGTATCTGGAAGCGAAACGATTGATACACAGGGACCTCGCTGCCAGGAATATTTTGGTGTTCTCGAAGAACAAGGTCAAAATATCCGACTTCGGACTGTCTCGGGCGTTAGGAGTCGGAAAGGACTATTACCAAACGAATTTCAACGTGAACTTGAAACTACCAATAGCGTGGTGCGCTCCGGAATGTATATTGTATCTGAAGTTCACTTCTGCGAGCGACGTATGGGCATACGGTGTGACATTGTGGGAGATGTTCAGCTATGGTTTCCAACCATGGGCGGCGTTGACGGGTCATCAGATCTTAGAAGCGATAGATGACCCTAACTTTCAGAGATTAGAGCAACCAGAGTGCTGCCCGAAGGAATATTTCTCGCTCATGCAGCAGTGCTGGCAGCACGAGCCGTCCAAACGGTCAAAATTCTCTGAACTGATCAACATCTTGCCCGACTTGAAGCCGGAGCAAGTGCAAGCTGTACAGGACAGCACGGAAAGCAGCCAGCTTGTTTACAGGCAGGGAGACGTCATCACTGTCCTCGACAAGGGGAGCAGTAACACTTTATGGAAAGGTGTATTGAACAATGGGAAAACTGGTTTTTTCAATCCCGCTCACACGATAGCGTATCTTGGGTCTAATTTGCCAAGTAACAAGCCGGGTGAATTCACACGTGGTGATGGAAAGAACGCTTTCTCCTCTCAGAGACGAAAGATCCGAACGGATATGATTTCCTCCCCGCAAGGCGATTTGAAGCACACTGGCCACGTAGGATTGGATGGAGCTTATTTCGGTGACATTGGCTTTCTCGGTGGCAAGTATCCGCACTTGCCGAGGCAAGTGGTGACGCCGTACAAACCACAGGAGGATGTAACGGATAATTCTAGTCAAGCTTTGAACGAAGAGACGAGGAGCGCGGAGACGAACAGGGAATTATTGAGGGATTACAGGAATGCACAGCAGGATGTTTTAAATAAGCATGGTGTGTATATATATATATTTTTTTTTGTTTGTTTGTTAGTATTTAAGATCATCAATAGATGCTATTTTGATATTATTTGATATTTGTTTTGTTAGAAAATTTGTGGTCAGACGTAAATTCTGAAGTGTGTCATGCTGCCAATTCAAGTAAACAGCCTGTTCCGTTGAACGCGGCCAGTAACAACGACGCTCTTGGAACGGACCACGAGTATCACGAGATCAGCGACGAGGAAAATCAAGATAGCCCTCTGAGATTTGATAAAACGTTGAATTTCGATTTTGGTCCAAGTTTACTGGCCGAAATGGACCAAATGTTCAGATCATTAGGTACAAATTCAGCAAGTGTATACGTTGATGGAGCATGACACGAGGCAGTTTTTAATAAATTAATCGACTCCCTTTCTGACTAGGGTCTTCCCCTCCTCCGCCACCGCCAGTTCATCCTCTGTCAACCGAGCACGAATCGAGCAACGTTCGAAACGAGCTGAGGGAGATGCAGGCGAAACAAAGCAATAAAAAGAAACAAGCCACCGTGAGTCCAATAAATGTACAGTAACGTTTTATCTTTTTATTTACCATTATGCTTTTACGTATTATTATTATTATTGATATTTTTATTATTATTATTATTATTATTATCATTATTATTATAATAGTCAATCATTTACTTTTTTTATTCATTGTTTGCTGCTGTGTATTGTTACTTTCTTTTTACGTATTACTATATATGTATCATGTGCATGTCGAGGCATAGGAACCTAAAGTTTTGTAACGTTCACAGAAACGGTATTAATAAATAATGAAAGATAAAAAGAAAGGCACACGCAGTGAATTTTCGTTAAGAATTTCGATAAGAGTGGAAGAAAAGCAGAAACTTGTATGTTGTACATTTACCACAAGAGAGATGGTAAAACGTTTGCTTCTTATATATTTAGGTGAAGCCTATCTCAGCCGCCGATCAGAAAACTCTCTACTCAGCCATTGCTATGGCACAGGAATTGACAGCACGTTCCATGACAGACCTTGAACATTCACCGGAGTCACCCCGAACACCTGCCAGTCCTTCGAGGCGCAGAAAGTTCTCTTTTAAGTTGCCACATCAACACAGTCCCAAACCAGACAGACGACACTTTTCAGAAGAAGCTGCCAGTATACCTGACATACAGGTATATTATACATATTTTCGTTTCGATCACCAACAACTTAAAAAAAAAAAAAAAAAAAAAAAGGTACACACGAATAACATAATTCAGAACACGATTCTAACGCCGCACTTGGGAAAGGAGTTACCAATTCAATTTCGTTTCTTACTAACGAAACTAACAAGAAACAAATATACCAGTTCCTCTACAAACATCAACTATTCATCTCAACACGAACATGATAAATGATGATAATTCGTACAATTGTGAGCACAAAAAAAAAAACTTCTCTGTACCCGACGAGAGATGGTCCTTTTTTTCAAACCGTTTTCTCGGTTCGTTCCCGTTGAAACTGTTATGGAACAGAGTTAATTCCTGATGCCGCACGAAAGAGTAGGTATATACATATATATACCGTATAATCGTATCTGTTCTTCATATTCCTGATTTGAGTTGTTTGATTGTACGTTAAGTTGATGAAACACTTCTTGGTTTAACATGGAAGACTAATCTTGACTCTCCTCCGATCCTTTCCCGTCTCGTTTATTTCTCCGTTTGTTTCTCGACAATTCTTTTTCAATTTATTTATCGCTGGTTATTTTTTGATTTCACCATCGATCACACGCCGCCGTGTTCAAACGTTTTTCGTTTGTTTTTTTGTTTCTTTTTTTTTTTTTTGTTTTTTTGTTTTTTTTTTTTTCTTTGTCAACTCATACGCAATCACCGGAATCACTCTTGAACTTCTTCTTTGGTACGGATACTTGCTTTGCCTGTCTCTCAATCGCCACCGCATGATCCGAACTTTCGCCACCGCTTGTTATTTATCATTTCCTCATTTCTCACGAATTGCACGATTGTCTGTGGGAACGTTCATGTGGGTATGTTCGCGCACGTGGTACACAAAGTGGTTGTGTTCAAGTTTGCAATCACTTTCGTCCACTGTATCTAGCATAGAGTCGCTTGGCGCGCCGTCGACCTTGAAATTGCCATTATGGGACAAAGCGTCCGCCGAGTTCTGTTTCGCAAAGTCCAGGGAACTTCTGACAAAGCCGACCGCGTGGACGTCGTACATGGACATAGAGTTCGACGCGCACATACTCGACAACGCGGTGACGAAGCAGAATCTGGTGAAGTCGACGGAGTTCCTCGAGAACGGGAACAAGAAGGGGAATTTCAGTTGCGACGGCCTCGCGGATATAAACGGGAAGCTGAACGCGTTCCAACAGAGCAGAAAGGTCTCCTCCCTGAGCATCGAGAATTCCAATTTCGATTTCCCTCGGGAACAGAAGAGAGTATCCACCAGCTACGTGGACCGTTACTTCGAACAGCCGAGGTACTTCGACGACGACGCCGCCCTCGCGTGCACCAACGAGAAGGTGTTGTACTTCGGCGATGACAAGTACGACACGAAGATGAACAATTTGGAACAGCCAGGCAAATCGGCGTGTTACTCGAACGTTCAGGAACAGGGTGGTACGCCGGCAGCCGCGAATGCCAAGCACAACAACCAGCAGGTGTCGGGTAAGTTTCCCAGCAGCTGCGAGCAACAACCGCTGAAAGACAAGGCGGCGAGTTTCGAGGCGCAGTGCGAGGAGAGCGGCGCCAGCTTCGACCTGATGAAAGACAAGTCGTCGAACTTTGTTGAATTCGCGCGCAGCAAGGCGATCAAATTCGACTCACCTAGGGACAAGATGGTCAACATAGACCTCGGCACGAGGCCGAAGATCACCAGTTCCTTCAGCGATTCTTCCAAGATGAACATACTCGAGTTCCCGAAGAAGATGGACGTGTCGAAGCCAAGGGGCGGGAAGGTGCCGTTCGTGCCGAGGAACCCGAGCCAGGAGGGAGCCAAGAGCGTGATTTACGGGTCCACGGACAGCATAAAGACGAACTTGAAGGTGGCAGGCGGTTCGGACAGCCCCAGAGCGAACATGGAAGCTATGAAGATCAATATCCAGAGTTTTCGCAAGATAGAGCAGAACCAAAACGGCCACGACGGTTTCCCGTTCGTTATATCCAACAACCCGCTGTTCATCGCGGAATCGGAGAAGAAGGAGTCCCCCGTTTACAGCAGCTCGGAGAGCCTCCGTGTGAATTTCCAGCGACTCAGGAGGAAGTCGGACGCGGAGGCGAACAACCAAGTGCACGAGCTGAGCAGCAAGCTTCTGGCGGAGAAGTACCAGAAGGAAGTGTCAGGCCTGGAGAGCGTGAAGAACTATTTGGACTCGAAGAAAGGACAGGGTTTGAATCTGGGCTTAGGCAAACTGACTCAGAACATGATCCAATTGGGCAAGAATATCGCGCAGAACTCTAGGAACATAGAGACCGCCGCGTCCAAGTCGTTGGTCACCAGCGTGAGGAATTTGGACATATCTGCCCAGAGCCAGATGCCGTTGAGAAGCTTGAACATACCGATGCAAAAGCCCAAGCACTTGGACTTGAACATTCCCCTTCATCAGTGTCAGTCGCAGATCAGCATGAAGCTGAATCTCACCTCGCAGAAGATAAACCCGCCGCCTTCTAGCCCGGGTCTGCATCAGCACATCCTCGAGCCGCCGAAACTCTATCAGAACGACAGCACGAGGAAGGAGTTGCCCAAGACCGACACGCTTTTGGAGAAGATGTCCACGGTTACCAACATATACAGACACAGAACGTCCTCACTGTCCGAGAACAGAAAGCCACCGATCAAAAACGTGAGGAGATCCTTTCATCCTGCCAACGAGGACACCAGCGAGGACTCGGACTCGATCTCTCACTCGGAGACGGATATACGGAGCCGTTTGCGGTACAAGCGCCGTCACAAGAAGCTACCGCACAATTTGCGGCTGAACTTCAAGAACAAGAGTCACTTCCTGCATCCGGAGGCCGCCCGGGGATTTTCGTCGATAGAACTTTGCGGGAAGTCGCCGCCACCGTCGACCAGTTTCTTGAACTCGTTGTCGCCGCCTTTCTCCTCTAGAAACAACCTGCTCTCTTGGCCAGAAAGCGCCCCCAGTTCTAGCCTGACGTTCACCAGTAACTCTGACCTTGACTCCGACACCAGTTCAGAGTATCCGGAGTTCACGAACGACATACTGACCTTCCCGCCATCCCCTGCACCATAAATATCCAACATCCTCGCCCGTGTATCGCTTTCCACTCGATCCTGGAGCCTGATAATAATCAGTAATAATGTCATCGATTTGGTATGCCAAATGTATGGGATATGTCTTGGCAGAAACGTATGGGATGTGATGCCAGAGTTGGGCAAAATTAAACCTAACCAGTTCCCTCTTAGACTGAATTTTTATGGAATATTTGTAATTCTCCTCTCGGTTGATTTGCTTAAACACACAGTGAGCAACTCTGCTGTGTAGTTATCTTTGCGGTATTATCCTTGATTTAGCTAGTGAGATGATCAGACTATAGAAGATCAATATTAACAATTATCCTTTTCTTCTTCTGATACCATAACTTTGATAATTTATCTCTTGCAAAGAGTTCTTTACGACATATTAATGAAACAATTGCTGTTTCCTTTTTCTTTTTATCTAATGCGTTTGTTATAGCAACGTTTCCCAGTGGTCGTAAAGCGTTGAAATTCCAGGATCTTGGAGATCACGTGGATTGGGAAACAATACCCAACTCTGGACAATATTACAATGTACTTAAACGAAGGACTGCCCAGAGGCAGTTCGTGTCACATACGCTTAGCATGCTTGCATGTTACATAATAATTAACTGAATAATAATATCTAGTCGATAATATATTTGGATGCATTTACACGTTTATACTATTTGTACTTGAAGGGAAACTGGAATGGGGATATGTTAATCACGCATATATATATATATATGCGAATTGATCTCTTACTTAGGCGAGTGTTCAACCTCGACACACACGTACAGGGAAACATCTGTTGCATCCTTTCTATTTAGAGTAGCATCTCTAGAGTCGGCCTATATATCGAATGTATACGTTATCTTAGTTTTTTTTTTTTTATTTTTCTTTGGCGTATTGACTTGCATCGTGAGACACAAAGAGTGTGTTCTTCGTTGTTCCCACATTTTTGCTTGCGAGTTCCTTTCATTTAGAGAGGATCCATCGTTCATGTACACATGAAGCCTACGAGGAAATTCTTTTTTCACATTTCAATTTCATAGTCACTCTCTTTCTGTCTGTCTGTCTCTCTCTTTCACTCTCTGTCTCTATCTCTTTCTCTTTTCCTTCATTTGTTATTTTCGTTCTTTAATTTTTTTTGTTCTTCTTTCCCGAATCTATCCCCTCCCACGACTTGTTTAGGCTACGTTGTCGGACGAGGCGAAGGAAGTGTACAACAGCCTTGTGGAGACGCCCAGCGTAGAGACGTCCCCGGACACGAACCCGTTGCGCATGCTACGCTCCGGGCTGCCCGTGGTGAGGCCCAGGATTCGCGGGAACAAGCACGCCACACTGGGCCATCCGGTGTCGCATCAGGATGACCTGGTCGCCGATCATTTCCACTTCGACGCCTATCACAGCGGTTCCAAAACACTGCCGAAAATCAGGGCACCGCCGCCGCCACACGTGCCTCCGCCGTTGCTTCTTCAATCACGTCACCTCGAAAGACACCACTCTGCCCAAGAGATAGAGAACAATCAGAATCAGAGCAACGTGGACGAGAATCCCATACCGTTACCGCCCAGAGACAGGTCCAAGACGTTGCAGCCGAAGTCCAGCTTGCCCAGGCATCAGAGGAAACACCCTCTGATTATACCAGGTGGCGGAGTAACCAGAACCTTGGCCAAAATGGCGGTCACCACGCCGCCTATCGAGGACCAGGTGGATGGAAGTTTGCAGTGCACGAGCTCCTCCATAGCCAGCAGCTTGTTGCACGAGGGTTACTCGTCGGAGAATTCAGCCAACAGGTATAGGATTGCTGTAACTTTCAGCGAAACTCGCTTCATTCGTTCAACTGCGGCTTAAAGGCTTTGTAAAGATATTAGTGTACTACTTTGGTCCTCTGTTTTCAGTCCAGAGGAATTCGAGCAACGTATCGATTCCGAATTAGCTGCGTTAGACTCGTTGCCGGCAGACGAGAACAGGCTGCACCGTTTCAGCGTGATCTCCGAGGATTTGCTCGAGTTCTCCGACAACTTGGCCGACTGCGACACCCCAGACTGCCGGCAGAACGCGCAGGAGAACAGCGACGTACAGTCGAGCGACTCCTCCATCGAACGACTCCAGAGGAAGGTCAGCGTAGAGTCGAAAACGTCCGTCAGAAGCTCCGCTTCGAAGTATGTCCAAGAGAACGAGACCGGCGAGGCGAGTAGAAATTCAACGCCGTCGGATTTGAACCTGAAGCCGGAAGATTCGGTGGCCCATGGGAAAGGCGATCTCCACGGGTCTAACAAACTCCAAGCGGCCAAGAGAACTCCGTTGGTTCAGAGGCCCTCAAATTACATGATGCAGTTCGATTACGGGGAATACTCGGAGAACAGCTTACAATCGCGGTGCAAACTGCAACCAGAGATGTCGAAAGAATCCTCCGTTACTAACTCGAATGACAGTTTTCACTCTGCAGGTCTGACGGACACCTACAACAGGTTGTCCAACGAGAAGCTACCGGGACACGCGAGCGACCTGTCGCGACAGTCCGATCATGTTTCCTGCGAGGATCTGTTGGAGTTCGCCTGTGACGGGCCGAACGCGAGGAGGACCCGCGGACCTCGAAACGGAGAGCAGTCTGACGAGGTCAGGATCATGATGAAGGTGCTCCACGAGCAGTCCACCCCGGAGTCGTGCATAGCTGCGTTGAACGTTACTGACTGGGATGTGCTGGCGGCGATTAAGCTGGAGCGTCTTCAGGGGTTACTGAAAAAGGAGAACAACTTCGTTGGGCTGGAAGATTGCAAGGTCATGCTGAATCAGTGTGGCGGTGACGTGGTGAAGGCGGCCGCATTGTTGAGAAGCACCGACGATACCGCTGCGGTTTAATTGAGATTTGTTTTCTGTTTTTTCTTTGACAATCTCTGGAAAGTTGAGGCGTTTCAATGGAACATTGTACGCTTACGCGGGTGGGATTAAGTTGAAATAGCATTTTCAAATGTTGGAATGCCCTTCCGTTTTTCATGCCCGCGCGTAGGCGAACTCGTACGACGATTTATTTATTACTTTAGAGTTAGAGTGAGATTATAGCGTTTGAATGTATCGTGACGTAGGGCAGGATAGACGTTTTGGTAGAATCCTTGCAAAGAAGTGGCATACACGATTGTCCATCAGAAAAAGGAGAGAAGAAATGACAAATTATTTTTACCACTGATCGTATTGAAACGAATGTTCAAGACAAATTGTGAGTTGTAATTAGTTTCTTTGGTAATTTAGTAATATCGTGCTGGATGTGAGTTGTTACAAGGCTAAGTTGTTAAGTCTGGTGAATCTGTCCGTTTGAATGCTTCCTAAAATTCTGTGCAAGGTAATTGCATTTTGTTTTGGACATTTTAGTAGCTTCCAAAAGCTAAGCATCTTTTTTTCTGATGGACCAACGGGATAATAGCTTTTTCTTTTTTATTTAATTAAGCGAGAAAGAGATACATCACTTTCTTCCTCTTCTTCGTCTAATACGAACGTAATGTGATAATTTGCACAATAAACGTATCGCTGATCAGGTTTTTTGTGATCGGATAAATCGTATGTAGCGGAAGCGTAACTGAATATATGCGTACATACATATATTTTGCAGCTTCAATTAGGCAAATATTAAGAGAAAGTATTACGAAGCCTATGACTAAGTAGCGAATTAATCCTTGCATCGTGGTTACGATGATCAAAGACTCTCTATAAATTATCTTTATCCTTTGTTTGTTATATTTCTCTCTTTGTTATTTAAGAAATTGTGTATTTTATACGAGACAATCGTTTGGTATCGTCATCAACACGATCTGCAAAAACAATTCGAAAACCATTTTATTTTCTTCACTGTTCGGAACACAAGAAGATAAAAGGGGGAGGAAAAAAAAAAGAAAAAGAAAAGGAGAAGAGAAGGACGTTTTTACTTTCACGTTAGAAAAACGAGTTTCGATTCCAAAGATAATATTCACACGGTATTATTATTTGGGTATCACACGCACCGTAGATTAGTGTTCGATCGTATTCATCGTATGCATCGAATGATTTCTGTAAACCAAGTCGCTCCGAATGAAAAGCGGTGAAACTATTTTATTTTATATTAAGCGCGATATTTGTATCCGATAAGCGATAGATCTTACAATTAAACACGTCGTGTGCGCGTAATTAACGCAAAAATCAGCACAAATGATAGAGAGAAAGAGAGAGAGAGAGAGAGAGAGAGAGAGAGAGAGTGAGAGTGAGAATGAGAATGAGAGTGAGAGTGAAAGGTACATGAGAGAGAACACCGTTTGTTATATCGATATTTTTACTCCAATTCAATATCCAAAACCTTGGATTGACAATGAAAAACATTTTGTAGTTCGTACTAGAAAGAGGGGAATCTTTTTTTTTTTTTTGTATTTTTTTGACCCGGTAGTAGGGTATGATAAGCACCAAATATGTATGGAATCTTTGTGTTCAATAAGATTGATTTTTATATTTTGCTAGATAGATTTTGCTTTCGTGTTGTAACCTTGTTATAAGTTTTGTAAAAGATGTCTAATTTAATTTGTCTGGAGAGGGAAGAGAGGGGGAAAAGAGGAAATTATCATTGGAAAAAAAAAATTGAATGAAATTCATCTTGTTAATCATAACGTTTGCTTGATAATCTCGACGATAGAGATCAGAGATTCATGGCTTTTGGCTCGATAAGCTACTCTCTAGGTAGAACAAATTTCATTTTTTTTTTTCTCTCGTGTGCAACATCTCCAAGATCGTGCAAATCTCAGTTCTCCAATTTCTACAGCCAGGAGCTAGTTTCTAGCCTGGATTTTGGATTGCACGTTCTTCGTGATGCAGGGTATGTTTGAAAATGTTCACAGACACACACACATACACACATACGTACATACACATACACACACATAGTAGTTCGATGAATCGAGTAACATATCCGGTAATAGAACTCGTTCGAACCACAGCAAAATTGTAAAACACTTTGATTGAGAAATATTTTTCCACGTGTCTGTGCGTTTTTTACGGGAACTTTTTCTACAAACCCTCTTCCTTTGGACAGTTTTGCTGTGGCCGAGGCGAGCTCGAGGAACAAATTTGCTCACTGTAATTCGCGTAGCTGACTAGTGACGCACGCGTCTGTAATGTTTTATTGCGGATATTATGGATATTAGACGGGAAGGAAGAGAAACGAATAGACTGTGTTTCATGAAATAGATTGGAAGATGAGCGATTGGAGATCCTTGCCGACCGTACTTTTGGTATCCCTCAACGAAACCAAACATAGGAGCTTACGGAAATCATCTAAGTAATGATTACTTAGTCCCTTTTTGTATTAACATTGAACAATAAGGTTTTCGGTTCCTGAATAAAAATACACGCATCTTGTATTTTTTTTTTTCTTTTTTTTTTCTGCTGAACGACGTTTCACATCGCGTGTTGGCTTCAAGAACATTACCAGCGTTCCATCGGTCCATCAGGGGCTGAAAGATTGAGAAAATCAAAATATCAGGGCATTAAAATTGAGAAACCTTAGACGATAAAGATGCATCGTTCAGGATAGTCGGAATATTCTTAGGCTGTAGATCAACGTGAATCGACTCTTCTGACATACAGCATACGTTTTCCCCTTGAATCATTTAGTTGTATAAAAAGTTGATTAACAAACGATCTTCCATTCGTACTGTTTGATCAAACTCTTCGAATGCGTTTCAGTGTTCTGTAAATAAGGTCTTGGTGCAGGATCTTCTGCAATTATCACGGACTATGTATCGTAGCCAAGAAATAGAAGGCAGGAGGTGGAAGGTTTCTTCTTCGTCTCTTGAGCTAACACGTCGATCGAAACGAGGACCTAGAGATAAACGATAAAGTTTCAGTATGAAGAGATCGATTATTTTTGCGCAGGAATCACAGTTAGAATTAGAAGTTGATTTTGATAGAAGGTATAAATTCACCTCTTCAGTTTCTTTTTTTCTTTTTTTTTTTTTTGTTTTTGTTTTCCGAGCCAGCGTACTTAGTCGATTCTCGACACGGAAGAAAGACTCGCGTGATACCTTGAGGATATCTCGACAGGCAGAGCTTTTCGCAGGATCTTCTCGAATTTTACGCAAGATCGTTTGCAAGCGATAAGAAGAGCTCTACGCGCTAACGAGCACGCTTCCTTTGCGCGGATGAACCTGGCGACCTCGTTCGCCGTGGCGGTAGGATGGGGGAGGAGGGGAGGGGTTTATAGGAAAACGAAGATCGCCAAAATTCGCGGCGGGGGGAGGGGGAGAGAATCGACGCCCCTTGTGGCAATAGCAGTAAGTTGATCCTAATAGCCTGTTTTTTTTATACGCGACCTTGTACTACGATAAGGCAATACACGTTTGTACGTCTCTACATGTATGGATTATTATCGCGCGGAAAACACGAGGACGTTTTATATCGACTGTATTTACAATAATATATACACATTCATAAACGGAGGCAGCCTGTCTTTTCTTCCTCATTGGTCTTCCAATTTTCCAATTGTAATATTATCTGTTGTGTAATTTAATATTGCGCATTGATTTATGTTATAAACCGATGTGAAGTTATAATTTAAATTAACGTGAAAGTTAATATCATGTACGTTATAAATTAATGTTGCATAAGAAATAATCGGTGGTGGCCCGTGGTGGGAGTATTGCAACTTTCAAAATGTACACAATACACACTGTGAATACAGTGGATTTTGATTACTTTTTATACGAAATAAGAAAGCAGGACCCGCCCCTGCAAATAATATTACAATTGAATGATGTTCCATATGTGTATGTTGACTAATTTATAGATACGCGTAAAATTTTGTTTATGGGTATGTTATTGCCATTTTGGTCTATCTAGATCTGTTCTTTTATGTTCTATGAATTATGTTGAATTAGTGATTTTTGTGGTTGTTTATCGTCCTACTGATATACATATATTATTCGATATATTGTATTTATATATATATGATATTTTATAAACTTTTAAAATTATAATTAAACATTATAATTAATATATATATATATATATATATATATATATATATATATATTAATTATAACATTCAATTATAATTTTAAAAACGTGAGTGAAATTTTAGGATGCCGTGATCTTCAAAAATTTATTTTCATTGATGTTTTCACTACCGCGGTGGACGTTCAAAAACACGATCGATTTATCGAAACTCTCAAATTGCGATTATCGAACCCTGTTTCTAATACCTGTGTGTACTTTTAAAATTATTATTGAACATTATAATAAAAATTATAATGTTCAATTATAATTTTAAAAATGTAAGTGAAATTTTACAATTTTTTCATGATCTTCAAAATTTTACGATTTCATAATTCTCAAAAATTTATTTTCATTAATGTTTTGACTACCGCGGTGGACGTTCAAAAAACGATCGATTTATCGAAACTCTTTCAAATTGCAATTATCGAATTTTATTTCTAATACTGTGTACGTATTAGAACGCGAGTATTTCATTTAAACAAAAAGATAGAACGTATACATAAGCAGTCGACGTTGCACGCTACTAATGTACATTTTTTTTTTTTCAAAGTATCAAGCGAGCGGCTAAGCAGTCGGGCTGGTCTACATTGACCGCGACAGTCCGTGTGTTCTCAGTACGGTTCAATCACTGACCGGATAAACATCGTTGCGGACCTTTCCTCGCGCCTGATCTCGCAGTTTTAATATTCGGTGATTAATTTTCGAATTATCCTAACGTTGGACTTTTTGGAGAACTCTTGTTGTCTCGAAACGAGCAGAATTTTGTCAGAATTAACCTCGCAGGTATCTCAGTTTTAATTAAAATTTCGAAATTGCAGCTAATATTTGTAAAAATGATTCATTTCAATGTGTTCAATTAAAGTCATATATATAGAAATATTGAAATGTCAAGATATTGAATAACTAATATATGAATATCAAATTTTCGTTTTTACGATTTAGTTTTATGTTACAATATTAGATACCGTTGTTCGCTTCCATTTTCTATATCTCGAAATCGAAATCGATTATTACGTTACGTCATACATTCGTGCTTTTCCTTTTCAGTGAAAGCTATCGATTTATTCTGAAACTTTTCAAACATGATGTATGTATATATATATATATATGAAATGTGTATTTTCTTTTGTATACTGTACGTAAGATAATATTTTCATCTAAAAAGTTTGAAGATCTTTCGAAAATCGTGAATTGCAATTGACAGTTAGGAATTCGATATGTTGATCGAAGCAAACAATTTCGAGATGGTCAGTTGATCGAAGAATGGCGTACGGGATGGTTCGATTCATTGCCAGCTCGCGACACGTTTCCAAAAATTTCGGTCAAAATTAACGAGAGGAAATGTTTCGACAATACGAAGTATAGTGAATTCCGGTGGCAGTGATTAATAGAAAAAAGTTTGCGAACACTTACTGAAATGATGCTGGCAACATGCTGGAAACGTTTTTTCCGGAAGCTAACCTGTTGAAATCCAGACGCCGGTAAGCTGTTGAGGTAAGCTGTTTTCTCGAATACGAGTAATATTTTAGTATAAATAATCATTGGAAAATTTGGAATTTTCTTCTGCAAGAAGATGTGTAACGATCTGAAATATTTTTTTAATACCATTTATCCTTTTGACAAAAGCAAGCTACCAATGTTTTCGAATGAGATAATCGAATCAAACAAATTGGAATGAATAATGGAAGAGAGACAATTTCATACCAAGCAGTGAATGGTGTAGTGACATTAATAGTACAAAAACCCATAAAGACGACTAAAAATTCTGGATAACACGATTAACAAAGTTAAAATGTTTGCCTAGGGAACAGGGTTAGAAATAGAAAAATAATTAGAATTGGACAGCCGTATAATTAGCACATATAAATTGTATATTTCGAGCTTTATGAAGCACTATATTTTATTAAAATAATAATATTATTTATTTAAAATATACGAAGCTCTATATTCTTCCCTGTTCTCGCTTAAATCGAGCAGTGTACAACAAAATATTGGGAAATATTTAGAAGAGGAAAACATAACGTTGGACATGTGTATGTGCATGCTGAAATGATGATAGACATTGGACCAAGGTTAATTCGGTGATTTGTTTTCTCACACGTAGTCCTCGACGTAAAGTCACAGTTCGAGCGCACAGGACAGATCAAAATCAGGTCACGAAGCCGATTTTCATTGTTTTCATCGTGACAGAGACCGCGCGTGGAAGGAACGTCTCTGAAAGGAGATGCGGTTTATCGTTTTAGCACAGCGGGAGAATGTGGCACGTTACATGCAGTGCAAGGTAATAGGAATGTCAGCTCCATATTACAACGCGTGTCTAGCGGGGAGCATTGTGTTTGTAGGAATGCGTATCGCGCAAGCCACGCTTTCTAAGTGTTTTCGAACTTCCATTTCCACGTGCGCGTATCATGTAACCGGTTGCGAAACGCATTCGCGAGTTTCCTCGAAAAATTAATTAAATCTTCGTGACCCGATGAAATATCAGAGGCAGCTGGATTGTGAATTTGTCGAGGAATTCCTTTTCTATTTCTAGATAAATTTAATTGGTATGTGCTATGTACAGCACACAATGTGCATATATTTGTAGGATTTCTGATGCATATTCGAATTGATAATTGATTAACAACGCTTTCTATTGTTCTAGTTTGATGAGCACTCTAGATAGAACACGTTTTACATACGTTGAGGAATGTACAGTGAATCGTGAGACTATTTGAACACTTGTGGAAACATATGAATATGTTACATATTGTTATCTAATAGATACATTGGGACGAAAATCAATATTAAATTAATACAAGTACACTGTTAGATATATTATTCAACTATATTATGTGAAATAACACTGTTAGATATATTATTCAACTATATTATGTGTGTTTGTTATTTCCTTATTATTGTATAATTTTGCAAAATTATACGTTTTATATACAAGTTCTTTGTATGATACATTTTAAGTTGGTTTTAAATTCAATATGAGTGGCAATTGCGTTTTATTATAATAACAAAATTTCAATAACAAAGTTTTTTATATTCATGATTCAAGATTCCTGCAGTAAGTGTTGGAATAGTTTTGTAAGTTACTCTAAGTTTTCAACTGGAAAAGATTTAATAGCGACTAACAGTGTATATTACATTACACCTGTTTTTCTTATTTAGTCATAAAATGGTGAGACTGGTTCGTGGCTCTTGGACATGTTGTACAGCCTCGAAAATAGTAGTAAATTTTCATAACGGGACTGGTTTGTCGTCCTAATTAACGCTGAGACAATACTCCCTGAGAAAAGTGTCTCGAAACGATGCTTGTGTCATAAACCAATTTTATATTCTTTTATAAAATTAATAACATTCAAATTCTTCAATTTTCACCTTAAGATTAGACTGATCGTTATAATTAACTAGAAGGTCTAATCATTATAAAATTCAATTCTAAAATTTAGATTTAAAAAGAAAACACAATCGAGCATCGTTTTAAGATATACTTTTATTTATCTGTACAAGGTAGAACCTTGTGTTTGTCTAATACTCTCTTAGGAAATAATAGTCTAATATTCTCTTGATTTTCGTCCCAATAAAAGACTCTGTAACCAGAGTCTTTCTGCACAATTGAAATAATATTATGAAACACTTTGCAAGTTTACAAAATATAAATATATATCAGTAGGCAATTAGTGCAATAAGAACACGTGAAGTCTTCAAAAATAAATGTTAAAAACACAAGTTATTTAATTATTCTGTCCAACTAAATTGCAAACGCGAATTTGATTAAATTGTGTAACCTGTCGATACGTTAATATTATTAGTTGATACGGTGCCAAGAATCCGGTGGTCCCAAGAATCCCCACTGTATATCTCAAAACTGACGCGTGTTATTGTTCTAGGAAACCAATGTCAAACTCAAGACGATTCACAGCTTCCTTGTACACGGATCATGTTTGCACTTACTGTTGGTACAAGAAGGAACGTTTAAGGGACAGAATGTTTGACGATTATGGTAGAACGTACGCTTGACCTGTCAACGTAGTTATCCACTGTTTTTCCGCGGGGCATTTGCATAATTGCTCGGTCTTGATGATAATCACAGCGCACCGGCGCATCCGCGTCTCACTTTCATGCTAATGAAACGCAATTCGCTTTCGTGACTAGCTCACGGTGTGTTTATCTGTTTATCCATCGGCCATGCGATCAGGATGCGCTCCGCGACGTAGAAATATTAACTGCGACTCCTAGGGAGAGACTGGAAGGCGGTGGTTCCCGCGAGTCTTATCTCCACCACGGGCGAATTTCATAATACGGCTGAGACTGTTATCACGCGGAACTGTCTTTCATTATGTTCCCTTTTCTGATGGGGACTGTATACATGGAAAATTTAATTGAACGAAGTGACTTACGAATGTACGGTTGGTTCTTGATCCTTTTTAATTTGCCTCTTGATCTCTCTTAATTAGCTTCTTTAATATGTGCCTTAAAATAGTTAGACTGAAGGAGTGTGATTAAGTTTCACAAACTGAAGAAAAATTCACTAAACAACAAAGTGCAATTGATAATTCTGAATGTTTATGGGAGAAAGAAGAAAATCCATTGTAGCACAAATTCACCAAATCACAATATCAAGAAAACTATCAAGTAACATCAAGAAAAAAAAAATTGGAAATCCAATATCTACATCCACCATCCTACCTATCGAATTGATCTAAATACCAATTTATCTAAGAGAATAGTCTTCAACTGATTGAGATTCTGTTGCGCAGGATATTCTGAAGAATCGCCAGCGAATCTTGAGTTCTTTTCTCAATCTGAGAGCGTGTTTCTCTCCCCCTCCTCCCCCCGCTGGCTGGGACACTTTTTATTTCAGAAACGTCACGTTGCATGGCAACAAGATGCACCAGTCTCCCCGATCGGCTGGGCACATCCTAGCGGTCAGTGCAACATAACTGCACTTACTGCCGGCTCCTCGGGCTACACAACGCATTACTGTATATATCCCTGATGTGCACCATATATCAGAGTCTCTCAAATCGAAGTCGTCTTTTCTTTCTTTCTTTCTTTCTTTTTTCTTCGCCTGGTTCTCCATGCTGCCACAACGGTTGGCAGCGCCAGGCAAATCGTGCAAGAATTTGAAAGAAGAGCTTGCGGAGGAGTTAATGAACGTCGAAGCTTGCTGGACGTTGAGTCCAACGGTGATAACTTTCGATCTGCGAGGAGCTTTGATACAGCGCCACCGAGATTAGGAGATTCTTCGGGCCAGGAAGTTAACGGTAACAAGAGGATCTTTCGCCTTAAAATAAATTAATTGAACGACTTGATCATAATGTTAATCGTGTGGTAAATCAGCCATTGAAGTTTTGACCTATATTTAACAGCTGTGGCAGCCTTGAGCCGTTGTTAGTTAAATTGGTTTAATTAGGTCTAATCTGTATTGGAAGCCGTTGCAACGATTGAAAATTATGGTAGAGCTTAATTATGCAGAAGGAGGATGCGCGGAGGCACCTGTTGAAATATCTGGAGAAGAGTGAATGTAGGTTAACTGTGTGACAAACGTAAAACATGCAAGAGGCACAGGAAGGAGTTGCGTAAATTACAGCACGGAGAAGACTGAAGAGATTTGAAGATATTAGATATATATTTTTGAAGAGATTTGCAATCTTCAATTTACTAAAGTATCTTTCAGATCAAATTTCAGCACCTATGTATACCTGGGATTGGATTGCAACAGATGAATATATATCATAATCTATAAACCATCAATTTTCTTCTATTCTCAAGACAATTGGAAAATGAAAAAAACGATAAAACAAATTGTCTAATGTAAGAGAATCGAATTAATTGTTGTGTGTTTCATTTGTAGAACAATAAGCAGCGACCAGAGAATGATAAACGACACATATATGAAAAGCACGGAGGAGTGAAGAAGACACTGATAGACACCTGTGTCAGGGGATCGGACCGAAAGGAAGTGCATTCCGCGTGAATTTTCTGCTGCCAAGTCTATCCGTTAGACGCCGAATGAATAATTCATTGGGAAGAGAGCCCAGGCTCTTGAATCATCGACGCCACAAGCCAATGAATCCAGCTTGTCTGAGAATCGTTTTATGATAATTGGTTGTTAGCGGCGATCGTGCTCCTCTCAGACCGGTTTGATGTTAATCAGAACAACAATACGATGGAATTAGATCGCGAGAAGAATCTACGTTTTCCAAAGAGAATCGCGTGTATACACGCGATAATACCACAATTAATAATGATTTCAATTTCATGCACGGATGTGCAGGCGAAGAAGTGAAATGGGAAATTAATTTTTTTTTGACAGGATGACAGGACGTGATCTTGATGATTTACTTACGCGTCGAGAGTTAGCTAGGTTTTTGCTACGAGGAAAGAGCCACCTATCGCTTATATATATATATTTACCTTTTATTATTATTATATCCAATTTGTTATTGTAATTTACTTGCATTCTCTCTTCTGTTAATGCTGCCATGCCAGTAGTATCAAGATAAACGCGTGAAGCTTAGATAATAGGGAAGAAGAAGAAGAAGAGAACTCGTATATAATTGGATTTTGTTTATAATTGGACTTAGAAAGGCGTAGGGTAGAAGAAATTAGATGCAAGGATGTTGCCTTAGACAAATTACGAGGGACACAATAATGGCAAAGAAGAAAAGAAGATATGAATTCATTTTCGTTCGACGCTTGATGATTATAAGAGAATATGACACAGTACACAAGTTTTTTTTATAAAGAACAAACGCTATAACTGTGATCAATATTTCTGAAATATCTCAAGAGAATGTTAAATGAATATACTTAATATCGGATCTGAACAAAGGCAATATTTTCTTCTAATAATAATCAAGTAATACTATTACTTTTAACGTGAGATCTAGTTAGTTTTCATCATGATATTTATGGATTTTAATATTTCAAAAAGAAGACTCAATAGCTACACACAGGGTATGAAACACACTATAAGTATACTATATTACATTTTATAAGAGAACGTATTATCCAAGAATAGTCAGGAATCATAAAACTACGTGACAATAACAACAACAATAATAATAATTTTATTTATTCCGTACAACTATCAGTCTAATCTCAAAGGGAACAGTTTGTATGCAAAGACTTATGGAAGAAAGAGAAAGTATAGTGAAGCTAACAGTGCTAGATGAATAACCAAGATCGCCCAAGCAAGGAGCAAAAGTAGAAAAAAAATGAAGCAACGCGGTGCAATTACGACTGAGCAGCTTAAACGAGTAGGATTGAGAGAGAGAGGCGTAAACGAAGCGAATAATTAATCTTTTTTATCGACGGTGTGTTGCACAATTCTGAGAGAAAAACCGTTCTCCCATCGTGGCCTCCAGGCGAAAAGTGGCCAGAATCTGAAAGTGACGATTACACGAGCACGTTGTTAAGTCTGGTCTCGTTGCCTCTGTTTGAAAATTCGAATCGGCTGGCGATTCTCGGCTCGGTTGATTCTCGATTCGAGAATCGCAATCGCGACGCCGATTCGGCGCCACGTACGATACCTGATGGTGTTCTATGGGGAATTCATAAGGAGTCTCGTCTCAATGCAACACGTCAATACAATATTCAAAAGCTTGGCTTGTTTGATCGCTGGTTATTTATACCATCGTCAGGTTGCGAACAGGCGCAGAGAAATTGGAGAAAATGTCGCATGAATTCAGTGTGGTCTTTATTCAAGAATGATCAGGAGCCATAAAATCGGTTTCCATTGCAATTGTCGACCTGAACGTAAAGAAGAAAATGACCTTGGTTCTCCTTCATTTTCTTGCTCTTCTCTAAAGTCACAAGTTAATGATAAAATTTCGTATAACAATGTGATCCAAGTAATCTCAAAATCTGTAAAATTTCACGTGTTCAGATTCACGTGTTCAATTGTAACACAATTGAGAAGGAATTGCAATGAAAATGTAAAAAATATATATATATGCACGGGCAAAGTGGAGGTGAAGCAAGGCTGGACGCAATTTAAAAAAAAAAAAGAAAGAAACCGCGTCGAACTTATGCGGGATCGTGGCTGGAAGCCGGTGGCCCCGTAATTTTCGTGGGGGTCATTATCACCGGGCGCACTTGCGCTCGAGGAAAGATTCTGAACGCAGCCTTCAGTACAGTTATAACTCCGCCACGGGTCTGACGTCTCTCTCTCGTCGCCTCTGACAATCGGCTGGCAGTCGCGGTTCCGCTCGGTTCCAAGCCACGTCCGGACCTATCTCCTCCATCATTTCGATGAAACACCATAAACCAGACTATTGAATCTCCTCCTTACATTTTCCCAATATATATATCCAATGTTATCGTTCAAAGTGATTGCGAAATTATTATTCAAATTCCGTTTGATTCGTGAAAGTAGTAAGATAATAAACATACACGTATAGATAAAGTCGAATAAATCAGATAACTGATAGAAGGTACTGTGATTTTGTTCAGGTCGATGTACGTGAGAAAGTGACCAAGTGCCAGGAGACATAAGGATGGACAGAGTGTGCGCTGGTAGTCAGTTATGAGGTAACAGAGCGAAGAACAGAGAGATATAAGTGCGTGTGTGATAGGGAGAGAAAGGGAGAGAAAGAGGCAAAGATGTTGTGCTTGAAGAAGCGAAGGACCTACAGCTTCACGCAGGGTGTCTGCACGGAGCTACCTAGGCGAACGAAGGAAGAGAATCATCGGTACGAGAGGCCCTTGAACATGGCTATTACGACACTGCCGCGTAAGAACAGGTGAGTCACGGTTTTCCTATTTTATTTGACTGCGCGCTGTGTCCAATCTGATTTGTCATAGGAAAGACTAGCGAAATATCTTCAGGATTGAGTGATCCTTCAGGATCTATGCTTGTTATTTCAACAACAGGTGGACGCGATGAATTGGAAAGAACTTTTGAGTTTTTTTCTTTTTGTTACATAATTTTGACTGCTTGTAAATGCTTTGTAGCATTTTTTTTAGGTACTTTGGATACTTATAAATTTAATTCTAAGTTAGATATTCAGATAATACAGTACTTCAAGTATTGTGGACATTGCGAGAGTTTTAGATATTTACTTTGGAACAGTTTCAGATAATAGCTTTCCAGAAAGTATTTCATATTCTCAGATATTAAGATATATGATCTGTATATATTCAGATGCTCAAGCATTGTAGATATACTTTGAATGTTATAGATTAGGATAGTTTAGAATGTTCTCAGGGTACTCTAGAAAGTACTTAATATAGTTGATAACTAGTTAGTCATACAGTTATTCACTATTCATATGTACTCCAGATAATCAACTACTGAAATTTTCATTTATTTTATTATTGTTTTTTTTTTAACTAATTATTTCGAATATTATGAACAACGTGGATGGTTTGGGTACTTTAAACTTTTAGATATTTCAAACACTTTGATGAAATACTCGAGACAAGCAAACGTGCAGCTTGAGTAATCATAAACATATGTAAAATGAATGGAATATCATAGACATTTAAATATTTGCCTGTCACATTTTCTAATGCTACAGCTACTTTTTTTTTTTTTTTGGATTCTTTGATTCTTCAAAATGTAACACATCGAAGCACGTTTTAGATATTTCAAGTGTTTTTTTCACAATAACAGGCTGCTCCGAGAGTAGTTTCAGAGTACTGAAACGTTTTCGTTCAGATTTCTGGCTGGTGGAGAGCTCAAGAAAAGTAAGTCGTAACGCGAAGGTCGACCGGAGGTAAAAGTAGGTATCGTTCGATACTGTTGAACAAGTGGAATAACTTCCTACGCGCGAAACCGATGGAACGATTCCCGATTCGCCCTCAGGATGTTGCGCCCTGCGCTTGTCCATGAAACGTAGCCACGTGTGACGGTGCAACGCTACACGCGTGTGGGAAGCGGTGTTTCCTTTTAATCAGAAACTGTTTCCCTTTTAGGATGGTGCTGCACTGTTGCGCCAATCTTATTATCATTCTGTTCTCAGCTACTGTTGAGATCGTTTACCTCACTGTTATGTTCAATCACAGTTCCATTCAAGTAAATTGGTCCTATGACAATTGGTGAGATATTCGAGTTGTGCCAGATTGGAAAATCAAAAGATACTTGTAGCGTCGTTGTAATATTTCAGTTTTTCAATTTTCAGTATTATTCCATAAATGGAGTAATAACGTGAGATCATAGATTTTACAAATTGGAAGACTCTTAGAGTACCTGATTTATCTTCAGAGATACCACAATCTTTTGGATATCAGAGTATGTTTCTACTTATTTGATGAAAAATTAATGTTCGTAGATGGGTTATCATGGGAGATCATTGATGATTCTTGGAGTATCTGATTCAGGATGATGAAAATTTAATGTCCATAGATGGAGTATCATGCAAGATTGCAGATCTAACAAATTGGGAGATTCTTGACACGATATAATAATGTGATGTTAAACCGAGGTCAGAGTATCTTATCATACGCCTGAGAATAATTAATATTCATAGATGAAATGTATCATGGATCTTGTGAATCATAAGAACCTTGGGATGTCAGATCAGGCTATTCTTCTGTTATCAAAATATCCTGAGAAGAATTGCAATATAAATATGAGAAATTCTATGAAAAGTCAAGCCTTGTGAAATGTAGAAAATTGGTTGTTTTGATCATTCTGGTAGTTGTGGCGTTAACGTAGCTAGTTACAGTGACCGCGCGTGGAAAGATCCGCAAAAGGTGAATTTGAATACGTCGATTAGCCGCCGCTACCGTTAGAGATGGAAGAAAAAGACAAGAGCGCGAATCATAATTGTGATATTATTAACGTTGCGTAAGTTATTAGTCGGTTTTTATCTTCAACGCCAGCCAAGCTGTGTTCCCAAGGTGAAACGAAGTATTCCTGCGTTCGAAGGACGTGCATTCTTGATGATTCTCCAAGATTAAATGATCATCCTCCGTTTCGTCTCACTGATTTCTCTTTATTTGTTCAAGTCAAGAAATACATGGTCGTTTTATAGTGGAATATTTCACAATGTTTTTGTGCACCTCGCCTTTTCCATGAAAGTGAAAAGATGCATTTTTAATGTGAGATTTATTTAGAAGGTAACTTAATTGGAAAGGCGATATAATTTATTTTAATAATCAAGCACTAAATTGTTTAGATTAGAAAGTACATTTTGTAATAAGTAATTCATTTACATTTGTTTCAGTGTTGGGATTAAAAAGAAAAACATTTTACAATGTTAGTTCATGTATCTCTTCATTTCTTTGCATTTAATTGAAGTACACAGAAAATCTTGACTGTACAAAGATTGAAGAACAGACATCTTCTGATTTCTACAAGAGTGAAAAGTTTCATTTTCAGCCGAGGTTCATTGAGAATAATGTTTCTAGAAGCAACAGTGATTCTACTCCTGGTTGAAAAATAATTATAAAAGCTCATTGAAATGCTAGTTTCAATCTCGTCGTGTTGAGAGATTTCCATCAGGATATTTTGCTGCTTTATGAGAGAAAGTTACCATCTATAAGCGAATAATACTAATCGAATTTACGTCTGGAACGGCATGAAAGTATCAGATTGTAGGTTTACATATCACATGATATCATGCAAAAGAATTTCCAAGAGGTATCCAATCCTATCTCTGATAAACGTTCAATGTGAAATTACTACACACCTTTTCAAAAAATTTTCTTCCCTAAACACAAACACCCTTCATTATGATGATTGTCAATAATTAATTGTTCTAATGTTCAATCTGTACATCAGATTGTTTATCCTAACACCCGCTAACTAATCACTTTTCACAGTTTGCAACAACTTCATAGCTATTCATGTAAATCGATTCCTCAAACATTTATTACCCAATTATTTAACAAATTGTTAACTAGCTCCTACGCAAAGATAATTGAATCAGTTTTAATTGATATAACTGTGAATTCTGTGATTGCAAGAATTCTGAACAATTGATCTGAAGCAGTTGATCTTTCTTGTTAATCTTCTTCTCAATAGATTTGCATGTAGATCTTTGAACACTACACTTGAAACCTGCGACGACACGTGCTGAAAATGACTTTCAAGAAATCTTGTAAATCTTCTGATTGATCGTTTAGCTCTTGCCATTTAAATCTGGTTCATCTGGTGCTCGTCCCCCTTTTTTTTTTTTCAACGGCCATGCAAGAAGGTCACCGTGAGTCAGAGTATAGCGATTGTGCCTTATCTGGTTATCGTTTCCTTCGTCGTCGGTTTTTCCTAGCTGGAAGTACCTCTGGAATCGTGTCAGCGTACTTAATTACTCGAGAGGCTACAAAGCGGTATCGGTTCTTCTTCGTTGCCCATCTTCTCTCGTTGGTCTATCGCTCATGAAATGGAACAATGGATCTTCACAGTGATTTTGTTAAAAAAAAAAAAAAGAAATGGCCACTTTTTCCTCACACTTCGATTTAACATTGAAACCAAAAATTTCACTTTGTAAAGCATTCTTTTTTCGAAAGTGATCATCAAATCGCTTGTCTTTTGGTAACAAATCACGAAACTGAAATTTATAACATGGAGCATTTGTTGATTTTACTGGAGAACTGCGAGAGGTCAGTTCTTTCCAACGTTTGCGTTTGAAAAGTGAAATTTAAATTCTTTTCTTGTAACTCAGCGTTCGAAATTGAAACGCCGGCATTGCCAATATAAAACAGCCGACAGTGTGTCGAAACGAGGCACGATCGGTTCAAAAAAAATTGGAAAGTTGAACGCAATTAGGGAGCCGCGAATTAGAAAATTGCGATATCAATACTTGATGATATTACGGGGTGTAAACAGTTGAATATATTTCTCGATTGGCTCACGAAAAGCCAATTAAACCAGCCGCCACGTTCGGATGAAATCACTGAAAACCAGGTCAGCTCAGAAATCAGTATCGCCATTTGTTTCAACGATAAAAACACCAATTTCCTTTTTATAGTTGAATCTTCGCTCATCGCATTGAGGAGAAAATTTGGCGATCGTTTCGTCTTTGCCATCTACGATTTCCCCTAAAGATCATCTAGGGTTCCCTAGAAAATTTGAGAAAGAAGCAAAGAAGAGAAGGACAGAGCAAGAAAGAAACTCGTAATTGTGAAATCACGCTCCTCACAGCGGTAACTAACCCAACACGCACCAGTTGCCCAGGAAGATAAGAAATAAGAAGACGTCTCCGAAGACGTCGTGGATAGCGAGTACAAGCATTATTTACCCAGCAAGCAATTACTTACTTACCAAGAGGTGATCGGCGGGTGCACACGCGTGTAAAACACTGGCAACTGGATGCTGCCCGGAGATGGAGCCCGGTAATCGATTGGGAATAGCGGTTCACCGGTGGAAGGGAACGTTAATCTAAGTCCGGCGTGTACCGGCGGCCGGAATTAGTTTACCAGCCGGACAATCGCGCATTAATCTTCCACCTCTGTTGCGTTCGATGGGTTGCGAAGCGAATGCTTCTCCCATTAGGGAGAAACCGGTGATTGTGAGAATTTCTAGCTTTTGGGACCGGCGTGCATCGGCGAAACTGTGCAACAATGGGGATCTCGGGTGAAAGAGGATCTCCGTCTAACTGCACATGAACGACCTTCGGCGAGCACCGTTCACGATTCGCAGGAAACCGCCTTGGGACCAGCGCGGTGGAAAGTTTAGTGCCTGACGAATTGGGTCGAGTGTTAAAAGTAGTATTTATAGCTTTTCATTGTCTTATCGGGGTTTTTCATCCGACCGCCGTCATTGGCGAGGGTCAGTCACTTTTTCTAGAAAACACTGGATTTTCACAGGGAAGCTTGCTTCGTTATTCAATAATACCAGTGAAGATTAGACGACAAAAATCCAATGAGGCTCAGTAAAATTACAAGAATCAAGTGCAAACGTTACTTTTTAGGACCGACCTCGCTCACATCTAGAAGCAATTAGCATACCTCCCTAATTTCGTAACCATAGAATCCAGAACTATGTAAGACCAACGAACAAGGAAAATAGACAGTTAATGTTTTTTGGCAATCGCGCAGCGCGCACAGAAGTTCCAGAGGAATCCATCGACGTACGACAGTTCACGGTTCGACTGTCAAGCTCTCTCTTGAACGACAATCTACGTTCCTCAATCATCCAATACTAGTTTGTCAGATTATCACCATTGTGCAATCAAATTGCATATATAACGAGTATATTAGATATACCAATTCAACTCCAAAACAACTCTCCCTTGAACCAGCTAGCTTTCATTAAAGTTGAAAGACAGCAAGCCACAATCTTATCTGCTCAAATCTGCAATCTGGAGAAGCAACGCTGAATGAAAACCCAGTTGACCGTAGAGTGAAAACGAAACGATACTGGCAATGAAACTGAAATGGAGCTTCAACAAGTAAAAAAAAGTCCAATACAACAATCTGAAGGTATTGAGATTCATCCCAATAGGTAAAAACGGTTCTTCACGTTGGAAGAAGAAGGCAAGAAGCTTGTAGTTGGAACTGTCTCGTTAAGGTTGACTAATGAATAATCAACGAGAGACGAGGGAACGGAGAGCAGTGTTGAAACGGACAAGAGAAACTGGTCGAGTTACGATTTTCACGGGAATCTGGTCCGGCAAAAATCGCGGTTGGACTGCTTTTCTTGTTGGCATGCCGCCGGAGAGCCACGGTGTTAAGGTTACCTAAGCACTTTCTATGCCACAGTCGATGGCCGGTCGCTTTGAAAACGAGCCTCGATTCGGAATGGAAATTATGTCGTCGGCCGCTGTTACGTGGAATGTTGCTCCACGGATAATGAGGAGACCAAGGATATACGTGCACGCTGAAACTGCTCTGTTGTTTCGCTTCATTCACTAGAAGCTCGCTTGCGAAGCCCGCAACTACTTTGAATTATTAACGTGGTCCAGGATTTCGTGGCTGGGCAACGTGCATTTAACGTGATCACCGGTACATGGCAATTCTCGATGATTATGATAATTCGATGGTTGAAACTTTGCACACTGATTATTGGTTTCCTTAAGTTGTGATATTATCAAATTAATTAATTACAGTTAATTGTACGTAGCACGTCGGGTCTTTTAGCTCCTAGGCCGTGATAAAATGATTCAGAATTAACAACTTGAGGGATTTTCTTTTTATCAGAGATCTTGTTACGTTTCTTGTATATCAGGGACAAAAGATGTACACTTTCTGTGTTTTATTGAAGAGGATATGATGCTTACAGCACTATATTCGTCTCTGTATCGTTAAAGGATTGAAAATTGACGTTAAATGAAGTAGATTCGCTTCTTGACATCAGAACTAACACCAGACTTAATTCCACTGTTAGGATTAAGTCTGGTATTAATGCAATAGTCACGGTAGTAATATCCTAGTATTTTGTTTCACGTAGTAGAGCAAATAAGAAACAAATTTCTGCCTACCTAAATTCTTCTGCCTCTCTGTTCATAACAAAGTACAAAGTTGCATAAATATTCCCAGTCGATTCACGGTTATATACATTTACACATATATTGTAAATAATACATTTATAATATAATATCCGGACAAACATCAGCAGTCACATCACGCATCATCGAGTATCTGTTCTGCGAGTGAAAGCGCAGCTATTCACAAGGTAAACAAAATTTCCATCCATCGATACATCCGACCGAGCTTATGGCATAACTTACTCGCTCTCATCTTTCCTCCTAGCAACAAAATGGCCTGGCCCGAGCTTTCCACTACATTAAACCCGTCGTGTATTAACCCGTGCATCATGCCGACTCATCACCTGTTGCTGGCGAATTGGCTGGTGGAAGCGCGACAGTTTTCTAAGACCGGTTGCCAGGAGAGAGAAGAAAAGGCAAGAGGAAAAAGCGGCCGATTTAGAATGGATAGCCGTGTCGGCGACTGGATCTATATTCCCCCCGCGGATCGAGCTGCGTTAACATTGAAGACACGCATCCTTTTGGCACTGGGATGCGTCGACGAGGATGCCCCGCCTAGTCGCGGTGGGACGCGATCCGTGCGTGTACGCAGGCATAGATAGAACGCGTTTCCAATCGTTCAGTTATTCCATCCGCGGCGCCGTCGCGTTTCCGTTCTGACGGGAAGTGATATGAATTCATCGTGGTTCCATCGATCGACTCGCTTGGCGGGAGCATTTCAATCGGACGGCTGCTGCAGGTGTTCGACATTGGTTAGCCGGTCGTTGGAACAGTCGATGAGGTTACGCACAGAGACCACAACGTTGGATGAACGTGACAAATCCATTTTTTCCATGAACCTGTTGAAAGAAGAGTATGGAGTCAGAATCGAAAGTAACAAAAATACATGCTAGATTAGTGAAAATAATTAATTGTAATTTCAACGTGCAGCTGTAAAGTGTGATACACTGATGATTATAATTAATTGTATAATGCAACAATAGGTTTGGGTTAGGTAGAATTTTAAAGCAGGAGAAATGGAAATTGTCGCGATTCGTCCCTCTTGTGGAGTAGACTGGGAACGTTTATTCAAATTTTAATTACTTTTATGAATGGAACAGAAAGAACAGGGTGTATAGTAGGGTAGAAATTTTAAGGCACATCTTTATTTAATATTCATAAATGAGGCTACGAAAATTTCCGAATGTGTAAGAAGACTCTGAATCTTTAATTACTGAGTTCAAAGGAATGTTCATATTGATCATCTTAAAGTCACAAACACTGTGATTCTACATCTTCAGTTGCTTTCAAAGCTTCCGTTGTAATCACGAAAAAGTCAAACATCCTTTGCTTCTTCATTCATGCATTTTCAAAGTTTTGCATAGCAAAACAGCTGGGATCTGATTGCGCAAGAGTCTCGGTGGATCTGGCTAATTACTCGTAATTACGATTAATTACAGGCAGTGATGGCAGGCTCTCTGGCCCAGCTCTGAGAACGACACTGTTCTCAGACAATTTGTTCGGTTGGCACCGAGATTGCATTTCGCGTCCTTTCGAGAATGTCCTCGTTACACACCGTTATCTCGTGCTCCTGCGGATCTCACACGCAGGCTCGACGCCTCAGAAACAACATAACAATGAATTTGTAGAAAGTACACCCGCAGAACAATTTACATGCACGGCGTTTACCTCGCCTCTGGTTGTCGATCTGGCTCTGCCCTGTCCTTTCACTGCCTGTGATTTTCCTGCAATTCGTGTAAGAACGTTGTGCTCCTCGCTTTTCGTTAAGAAACTCACTTGTCCATTCGTGGAATTTCAACTCTTGATCTCGTTGCGTTAGATTAGATTGCTAGAATTGAGCTAGATTAGATTTGAATACATCAAGCTAGATTATATTAAACTTGAAAGAGTTAAAATAAACACATTGCTCATTAAAATTGGGAGAGCAAGTCAGAAATATGCTAATTTTATATTTTTATATACATAATATAAGCTATTGTTCAATATTGATCAGCTTCACGAAGCTCCAAAATTAAGCAAATTGTGAATTTTAAAGGTAAATCTTAGAATGTACTGTCATGTTGTACAAGTAAATTATTCTTGAAAGCCAAATAGAGAAATTGGTACAAAATAGCGTTGCTCAATTTAGCTTGCGAGAGGCTTGTTACATTTTTCCAATTCCTACGCTTTTTCCCTATTTAAGAGCCACATATACCCACACAAACGTCAGCCAGTTGATATGAACGTCGTAAAGGTATTTTCATATTTACGTCAGTAGCCTCTAGGATCCAATAAATCTGTCTTAAGCCGTCGTAATTACATGGCGATGCGATGTGTTAACCGCTGAATTACGATATGCGTACGCACAGGTGGAGGAAATCCGCCTTGAAAGTTGAGTAATAAATCGATGGTGACGAGAGGTCGAGCTCTTCTTCTTCTTCTTCTTGATGGTACCGCGCGACTCGCGTGAAATCGAGAACTGACGAAAATACGTCGGCTCGTGTATGCTCGAATGCAACGCTTATCCAGAGGAGAATCTCTCCCGAACGTTTCGGAAGCGCGGACGGAGCCATGCTTTCTAACTTTTGCCTTGTGAATCGCGCTCCATCGGAAGACGCATGCGAGCCGATAACATCTGTTAGCTGCCCGTCCCCGTTAATGTGAGCGGTGAAAACGGATCTGACTCCTCTGGGTGTCTATCTTTTCCTTAGAATTGCGTTGATCAAGATATCATGCGTTCATCGAAATACAAATCGATACATATTTGGTCGGATGTTTTGATAGTTATGTACGTAGATGTAAATGGGTGTTTCAGTCACTGAGTTGACCTTTAAATATCCAGTGCCTTGCAGTGTTTTGTATTTTCGTCATAATTTTCTAAAAAATGTCATACATCTTTTTCTTAATTATGACCACAAAATAATTGATGAAATTAAACTATGAAATACATTGTATACGTACATAGTGTTGGTTGCTAAACCAATTCCCAACAGATTGGATATTTATTATTAGTCAAAATTTACCTGTAATAAGTATTTTTTGCTCTGATATAGCGAAGCTGATACATTACAATTTTGTAATTATTCGAAATTCTTTCTGTTGCAGGTAACAACTTCTTCTCCTCTTCCTCTAAATTTTAAGTATTAATATTCCGCGAATTCACGGGATCAGAGTTGGGAAATCTATGCATGCGCTGACTGTAATTAAGGTAGGAATGAATTTTATTCATTATGAGGGAGAGACGTGAAATGTGCATACCTCCGTGGCGCTGCAATCATGCTCACAGTTGCGCAGGTCGTGTTGCATGCATCACAGGGGCTCTTTCGTCACGTTTTTACAAATCACTATTATCTTTCCTCTACGAAAAGTAAATTTCATTTATAAATTATACACGTTCTTTAAATTATAATAATGAAGTTAATTAGCGAAGAACAATTGCACATACATATTCTGACAGAATCAGATGAATTAAGTTGATGACTCGAACTTTCCAAGGTTCCCTGGGTTGCTTAACAAACCAAATCCTTCCCTCTTTCATCGCGTTTCCCGAATCGTAACGCGCATAGCTGTTCCTGCATTTTATGTCGATTTTTATATTTCGATTTAGCATAACTCAAGTCATTACTTGCACAATCATCAATCCTAGGAAATTTCGAAGAAAAACTATTCCTCAACGGATAATTTTAATCGGTTAAATTTATGGATTTGAAATTTTGTTCTTCAATTATTATCATTTTATATAATACTTTATATTTTATAAAATATATTATAAATAATATATTTTATAATATTGTACTACCTTAATAGAATCTTTATTCTCTGGTACTTGTTCTCTTCCCTCAAAATGTGTACCTATCAATTCGTATTTTCAAAATTTCGGTTATCCTAAAAAAAAAACTTAAATCGTTAATTAGTATAATTAATTAATATATAAAATTGCAAATAAATTGGTGATTATACACGATGATAGGATACGTGGCTCCACCACACGTTTAAAAGAGGCATGCGCAGAAGCACGTGCCAGGCATGCGCGACCGCAACGAGCAATTCGTGTTGCTTCGATTGTTTGTGTCTCGTGTACGCGGTTCGGTCTTTCGTTCTTCCCTTTTTCTTATCTCTCTCTCGATTGAACAGTGGATTTTCGCCATTCGACCGCAGAGAAAAGAACCCAATGGGAGGGTGTGACGTGCGTACAGCGTGCAGAACCGGCAGTGTAGCAGCTGCCACCGGTGTTTTAGCACGCGACCGTTGCCAACGGTCGTTGTGCATCATGCGTAACCCTCGTACGCACCCTCAGTATATTTTCAAACACGTTCGTGAATAGTGTCGTTCATGTGTCCGTGGAGAAACTGGAGCAAGGATGGGCCTGAAGCTGCGACGATTCTTCAAAATATTCCGGTGAGTCAGATTTCGTATTTCGTCTAACGCCAGAATCAAAATTCATCATTTCCTGAAAATATTTACACATGTATTTATTTTTTCGCAACGTATCTATTGTCCTGTGCCCGGAAACGATAGTTACACAACGAATTGTATCCAATTTTCTACTCATTCAGTCTAATTACGTCGAATTTTTAAGCCAGTCGGTGTGTAAACGCCATTGTAGGTAGATACAATAATGCGCAATTGACTTTTGTCCAGATATACAGATTAGACAAGAAAATATTCATATTTTTCTATATCTGTAATTGTCATTAATCGGTTACAGTTATTTGAAATCAGCAGGGACGAATGAATAGCATTTCAAATTTTTATATAATTTAACAAATGAATGAAATTGATTCCATTACCAATTGTTCTTACTTTCGTTTCGTCAGTTTATATATTTTACTGATATTCATGTGCCTACAGATTGACTGATATGTCCGGATACTTGCGCGTGGTAGTGTAAATACGAGACCTTTAGCGTCGACATTAGCATACATTTCGGTATTATATTTCTCGGTTATGGTACGTTTTTTTTCCCTCCCGTTCGACGACCGGCTTCCAGTGTATACAGTTTCGTGTTCTTCACAGATCGAGAGACTCTCGAATGGAATTACAGTGTCGTAGATTCCGTAAATGAATTGATTTAATTCACATGCCGTGAAATAATTCTTGCGTAAATAAATAGATTACGCGTAGAATTGTATTTTAATTGATCGTATTCTTCGTCATTGTAAATATACTGAATTGTTAACAAAAAGTCTAATGAAACCTCGACTGTGGGATCACGTTGGCGAAAGACTTTCACCCAATTATAAACCCAACAAATATCCCGTAATTCTAAAATAGAAATATAATCGGTTAGGTGGAACCGAAGATTTTACGAGCTCTTAAATACATACATACATCCATCAACGATGAAATTGGCTCTTCGTTGGCGAAACCCTGCGCGTGAATTAAATTTATTTAATTCAAATCAAAGTAACCTGAATTTCGAACAGTTAGAATAAATCTAGAAAGAGGACTCGAGGAACTTACCAAACTCATCGTCATTCGTAAATAAGGCTACAATTTGCATAATGAGTCTCCTCTATCCAACGATTAGAAATAGGGACGTTTTATCGACACCTGCTAGTTAATCCATCTTTTTTTTTTTTCATTCGCATGGTGTATTACGCGTACCGTTATTGAACTACGACCAGTTTCATAGGCGGTTTGACTTACACGAACTAACAATTAAGTGCTAGAGAAAAGTACACGTTGCGCGAAGCTCTTCAGCTTCTCCTTGCTGTTATTAAATCCTTTTGTGGAAACGATTGCAACGATATTCCCGTGACTGATGTTTGAAAATGTAAATGGCGGCCATTATTACTCGTCATTAATTTTCCCTAGAACAAACAAAACGCTGGACGTTGGAATCAGAATAAATCAAATTCTAAAGCAATTTAATTAGATGAATGTTTTCGTCGTTGATGTTAAAAATATAAACGTGAAAAATTTCACATTTTCAGTTCACGAACACGTGATTTAATTTTCTAAGGCGAAGAACAATCGATATCTAATTCGTATCTAGTAACCTTAAAAATGTACCGAGACAATTGCTAGGAAATTAACATTGAAAAGTGTCATATTTCTTTTTATCGTATTCGGTTGCGCGAATCGACTGACGAGTACCGAAGGCACCCGAATGACAGTCGGAAACGGACGACGAAGGGGCGCGAAAATTGCCGAAGTTGCTCGCGCTAAAGCCGTTAACACACGATCAGTAGTAGCCCGTCGATCGAGAAGTGAGGACTGTTTGAATTTTTCTCCCGGCACGTGTGATGCGTATTTCGTATTTCGAGAAAGACATTCGAACTTTGAGTGACATTTAAATCATTGTCATATGTCAGGAATGTGATTGTTTGTCGTGGACCTGGCATAAAAATTGTTGAACTTCTCTCGTTAAGCGTCAAGAGTGTTAGTGAAAGAAACGAAATTTGAATTCGTTGGGGATAACGGTGACTGGAAAATTAACGCGGCAGATCACGTTCAATGACTGTAGAAATGACAACGAGAAATTAATCGTCTGGTAAGTCCCGCAAATCTTTTGAGAACTTCGAATAAAAAGCTCGTTCCTTCTTGTTTCTTTTATATTCTTGGGTGTTAGTTTAACGTTTTGAGGTTAGAATCTTGAATATTTTTCGTTCGAATTATAATCTTATCGACGATTAATATAAGAGGTTTTATTGTCGTTGCTTAATCTTTAGATTGTTTATTTCTACATTGAATGAGTTTCGACTGAAAATGACAAACTATCGAACCTTGAGTTATTTATTTTAATCAAATTTTTCTGAAAATTTTTAATACTTGATACCTATTTTTAATACCTATTCGAATTTGAATAGGAAATAGATTCCGAGGTGAGGTCGAGCTTTGTGTTATGAAATGCAAGAAATGTGAGCCACGCGCGTTATCATAACGACCGCGATATAATTCCATAATGTTGTTTTTTTTCTTCTTTTGATAAAGTACAGTTGACAACGAGTGTACAAAATTAACGAAAATTTAACAAACGCATCAAAATTTCTCAAAACGCGCGAAACGTTGTGTAAATATTGAAGTTATGTTACATCAGATTGAATTTTTTTTTCAAATTAGGGCATTATTTCGCCACTGATAAAGAAAAAATTAATTTTTTACTTCGAAAGATTTTATTCAATCGTAAATATTTTTTTTCATTAACGTAATATAACGCGATATAAAATAACCGGAGATATTGTCTCTTGTCGGCCGCTCAAGGCAGTTTTTCAAATATTTTTTCACCTTATCGGTTCTCGTGAAACGTAGACAATAAACTTTTTCTAATAAATATCAGAGATATTAATCGTCTGACGATCCTTATCACTCTGATAATATTTTTTGCAGTTTCTATTTAGCAGTGCACTAAGATCTCGAGATTCTCGCGATATGTAGTCGAGATATCGCAAAACGAAATTGCACAATGCAAACATGGTAAAGTCGGCCATTACTATTTGAAAATTGTTCTTTGTACAGTCCGGTAATTTGCCTCTCGTAATCTTTCACCATGAAACATATGATTTTTCGTCGTCTTATCTTAATTATTTCGTCGTTTTTCAAATATACGTAAATACAGCACTTGATATATATCCTAATATTATAAAATATTTACACTGAAAAGACTCTCGATAATGTATATGTTATGTTACGTGACAGCTGCAATTCACACAATAAAATTCCAATCGTTTTAACCAAAATCACGTTCTATTTACGTATTCCGACAATTATTTTAACCTGGAATGATAACCAATGCTTTACTTTTCTCCGCTTGTTTATCTTCGTTTGCATCGAGGTTAGCTTCCACGTGATAAACCACGCGATTACGAAATGTATTCACAATCGTTGTATATTGGTTGTGGTTGGAAGGTGAAAGAAAAGAAAAAGAAAGTGGATAAATGGTAGGAAATTTTATTGAAAGAAGAGCAGTCGAATACAATATTGAGAGCGACGGCCGTCGGATTGTTTACACGGCTTAGCATGTGCACCTGAGAGGTTTCCCTTTTAGCACTTCTGAATTTTTTGTCCTAGATTGCAATATTTTCTCTGTTTCAAGTATATTTAAATGTAACGCAGGCGAAAGAAATGATAAGTTTCTTACTTCTTAATCATTTCTATCCAGACGAGTTCAAAAGAAACAGAGAGCGACGAATTATTGTGTACGGTTCGGTCACTCGTTATGGTCCGCAAACCAATTGCCAGCGCAAGGGATTAATCTGTACGTAATCTTATTGATAACGACAATATACGTATTGTAACTATATAGATGATCTTGTAACATGCGATTCGCGTGAAATCATCGCAAGATAGCCCGACGTATGTACATATCTACGAGGCTTTATAAGGTAATTTTCGAGAACGACACAATACGATCGAGGACGAGGCACGCCGAGTTGACGTATCTCCGCAGTTCGGTGAGTTTCACGTCGGTGCTCTTGTTCAGTTTCGTATATAAACAGAAGCGTGCCCGACCTCGGCGCAAGTGTCGTGTTTGACTTTGCCCGAACGTGGTCGTCATCCCTCTCTGTGTTGATTCCCCTCTCTCATCTCCTCTTCCTCGATTTTCGATTGAATTCGACTCTTGCACACGTGCCCCGGCATATTACGTGTAAAATTGGCTTTGCTATGGTCGCTGCTGGGGCAATCCGTTACTCGGCGATGTTTATGACTCGTCG